GTCGCATTGCCTCCAGCGTTGTCCTTGTCTGTGCTGGTGATGCAGAAGTCCCAGCTAGTCGAAGCACTGTCGGTTCTGTTCGCATCAAGCCAGACCAGCTTGGACTCATCAAGGCACAACGGTGCATCATTTTCCATATTCTCAAGTTCGGGAATCATACCCGAGCCATCTAATAGGCTCGCGAGCGCCTCCCTTGCCATAACGTGCTGAAACATGCTGGGGCAAATGGGTGCTGTTTGTGCGACGAGGTGAGCACCGACATACTTCTTGAACTCGTCTGAGGTGGAATGAATTTGGAAGCGGGCATGAGTGCTGCCAGTATCCTGGAACCCCATGAACGTCCAAAGTCCCTTGGGTGACGTGGGTAAAGGAGCCACCGGGGCTGCCTCCTTGACCTCCGGCTTCCGGCGCTCAAGCCAATGTCTCGATTTGGCAAACTGATACGGCGGGAGGAGGAGGGGAGGATTATTCGACGTGTATCCAACATGCTCCCAAAAAGATACATTGAGACCCTCTTTCCAGAGATTGACCGTAGCATCTGCCAGATTCTGGACGGCTCCAGAGCTGGTGATATTGATTGATTGGAAGGCCTTACCACCAGATCCTGTCACCTTGCTGGCCAGTGCTGTGACACCCGAGCCGGATCCCGCTTCCAGCCAGATGCTAGATGGGTATTTCTCGGCCAACCGCTGAACTGCCTTATCGAAATAGACAGGGTCCCTCATGTGAGAGGCAAAGACATTGAAAGCCGGCGGACCACCGATCGTCTCCTTAGTGGCTCTCTCGTGGGGAATGGCTGGGCTGTGGTATATTAGATCTTCCCCGAGCTTCTCAAGTTCGGGGACCAGAGGGTCCACGAGTGCCGAGTGGAAGGCGTGGGTAGTATCCAGCTGTTTCGATTTGATGGACGAGAAAGATGGATCACTCGACAAAGTCTGCTTAATATCCGCGATCACCTTTGATGTACCTGCTAGGGTAAATTGGCGGGGACCGTTGAAGCAAGCGATATTGGCAGGTGGCTCTGTCGTGTGCGCGGCATTGGTCTGGCGCAGCAGTCTTTGCACGCTGTCCAACTCACCATCGACGGCCATCATTATGCCACGGTCTGGGCCCCACTTCTCCTCCAGAAGACGAGCACGCCCAGCAATCATCCTTAACGTGTCCCTGATGGAGAGCGTTCCAGAGACGCACATAGCGGTGAGTTCCCCGAAGCTGTGGCCCACCAGCGCAGCGACCGGAACACCACTGTCGATCCAGCTCCTGGCGCACGAGTACTGCAGAGCGAACTGCATGGTCTGTAACTCGACAATGCTATGTCTGGGAGTCCGCTCAAAAATGGCTGGAATGATTCCATCAAGACCCAGGGACAGACATGTCTCATGGCACTGGTTTAAGTGAGTGCGGAGCAATTTAAATTGGTCGTAAGCCTCACGGTCCAGGCCGACAAAGTTGGACCTCTGCCCTCCAAAGCACAGAATGACTGGACGAGATGGTTGTTGTCGCTGGGTGGAGGTCAGCTCGCCCCGTCCGTCTGCGAAGCTGGCGAGTTTCGCTTCAAGCTTGTCAACGGACGCGCAGCTAAAGATGAGTGACTGTCCGAGCGAGCGGTTCGACTGGTGCGCCAATTGGTAAGAGAGATTGTCAATCGTAAAGCGGTTGTCAGTCGGCTTTCTCGATTGAAGCAATCGAACCATTTTCGCGGCATACGATCTCAAGGATTGGTCGTCTATGCCAGAGAACCAGAATGGACGCCTGCCAGCAGCTGCATCGGCTACCCTAGGGGTTTCACCTTGAAGTTGCGCATGATCTGCCTGTGTGATGACAAGCGACGCGTTTGAGCCAGAGGCACCGTAGTTGTTGAGGAGCGCCGCCCGGAAATCCGTCGCCCACGACCTCAGTCGAGTGGAGATTTCGATATTATCCAACGGTGATGCGTTCAGTTTCGAGCTGATGGTACGGAAGCTGGATTGCGGAGGGATTGCACCGTTTTGAATCATTAACAGCACTTTGATTAAAGCCGCTACACCGGAGGCACATTCCAAATGACCGATGAGGCCTTTGACCGAACCTAGGGAAAGGGGCTCCGCGCGACCTGGTCCGCCCAACACCCGGCGAACACTGTCGTACTCTGCGCGGTCACCGACTTGTGTACCAGTACCGTGTGCCTCAACCACGGAGATTTGCTTAGGATCTAGTCTAGCCTTGCGTAGAACGCCGTTGAACACACTGGTGAGGGATTGAACACTTGGGGCAGTGATAGCCGAGCAGTTTGCGTTTTGGTTCACAGAGGATCCCCTAATAATACCTAGAACCTGATCGCCATCTTCCATCGCGGCGGATAGTTTCTTCAAGAAGACAGCGCCAGCGCCTTCGCCCCTGCAGTAGCCATCGGCGGCCTCATCAAATGGCTTACATTGTCCGGTAGGACTGAGAAACGAGGCGCCGTCAAGGTTCTGGTACCACTCTGGGCTCGTCATAACGTTAACACCACCAGCAAGAGCAGCATTGCATTCGCCGTTCAGGATAGCGTTACAAGCGTGATGGACAGCCAAGGCAGAGGACGAGCAAGCCGTGTCGATGGTAACACCAGGACCGCTCCAGCCAAAGAAGTGACTGATCTTTCCAGCCGCGAAGGACTTCAGGTTGCCCGTCGCAGTATATGCAGTGGGTGCATGGCAGGCAACGTTGTTCTCGTAATCAGCCACTCCGATACCCACGTAACAACCGACATGCTGGTCAATCGCTGCTTTATTGAAATACCCAGATTGCTGCACAGCCTGGTAGGAGACCTGCAACATCATTCGGTGCTGGGGGTCGCTGGACACCATTTCCCGTGGACTCTTCTGGAAGAACTTGTGATCAAAAGCATCATGGTCACGGACGAAGTTGCCAAACCACTTTCTCTCCTTATCGTTCTCACGCCAGGCAGCGTAATCGAAATTGATGCGGTCCGAAGGCACCTCAGTGCATTGTGACTTTGCCGCGCATATCGTGTCCCAGAACTCGTCGAGGTCACTTCCACCCGGGAAGTGGCAGGCCATGCCGACTACGGCAATGGCGTCATCCTCAATGGGCCCTAACAGAGCACCTAGCGCTGGGGGGAATTGGCCCGACTTAGGATCGAGATCGGCAGCATACACAAGTTTCGAGCCGAGCTTGCGTAGGAACCACTGCGGTACGAAGCGCTGGCTCCCGAAGCAGATGGTAAGAGATGGCCGAGTAGAAGTCGACTCATGCAGTGCCGTGAAGAGTTTGTGCCAATCAGCCTTGTCGGTCAACATTGCTCGAGCGGCGGCATGGTTGAGCTTGTCCTCAATTGGGAATTTGCTGCCATCAGCAGAGCGCGTGCTGAATGGGAGTTGAGAAGCGTTTGGGAACTGGAAGGATGAGTCTGAATCGAAGAATTGCAAAAGGGAAGCCGCCTGAACTTTGCGCTTGCCGCAATGGAATGGCCCACGCAATGCAGTCTTCGTGAAGATGAAACCAGCATCTTTTAGCTTATCCAAAAGCTCGGGTGCGTCGGTCTTGAGCACAGTGAGAGTGGCGAGGCGAGCCTCGGAAATGACCGACACATATGCCTAGCGCAAGATTATTAGCCTAATCCCATCTCAGTCTATTTTATACCGAGTAAAATACCTCTGGGAAACCGTCTACGATGCTGTCCAATTTACTCTCCGCAGCCTGGGTTGTCCACCCAACAGCCAACGACTGCCATTTGTCTCCATCTTCACGGTCTGAATCTCCTGCATCGACCAGCGCTCCGATAGCGGTGGCAACCCGAATAGCTACCGCACCATGCTTCTGTAGTTCTGCCAGAGTCGCAGAGCTAGCCACTGCAGCTGAGCTGATAAGCCCAGTGCAGAGACCTGCTGTCTCCGTGTCGATTTTCAAAGCCCTTGGAAGGCTGTCGCTCGACGAGATCCCCGGGTTGAGCTGTGTTACGAGTTTCGTGTACTGTGCCAATTGCGTCGTCACAACCAACGGGGTAACGAGTATGTTGGGGAGTGGAAACAAATTTGAGGGCAGTATGCCTCGTCTGACCCATTCGTTAAGCAACTGCAGATACCTTTGACCCTGGAATGCCCCTAGCTCTGGGTGAGCGTCTGAAATCTTTTGCCATTCCTGGGGTAACTGTGTCAACGTTTCTATGATCCACTGGAGCTCAGGTGTTTCGAGTAGAGTTGTCCGGAGTGTGTGTAGGAGGCTGTTGTCCAGGTTAGGGTCTTGAGGTCCAAAGACCAGAGTAAGGCTCTCCGATTTAGTGTTAGGGGATGGGTTGACCATGTTGAATGCTGGGTCAAAGGGTGGTATGAAAGAGTTGAGATTTTGTGTCTGGATTTTGCTTTAAAGCCGGTAGTCTGTGGGGTTAATGGATGTAAATATACAAATCTGATTTATAGCTGGGTTCATCCTAGAAAAGAGAGCATTAGGAATACGGATTCTGAAGACGATGATTGGATTGACTTCCCTATACTCCGGGTCTTTGCTGATGGTCACATTGGGGCCGCGAATCCTGCAGCCCTACTTTTTCACTCCGGAGAAAAGTACTTCTTGAAAAGATTGTCCGACAGGGGCTGACGGGATCAGCCTCTTCTTGGCTTTCCCTGGTTTGCTTACCTGCCACGTTACTCTTTCTCCGTGTTATCATTTTGAGGATGCCTGGCGTCGCTTGATCGGTTGTCCATACACAGGATGTTGTCTGCAAAGTTACCTGCGCAAACACCTTGAGGGACACTCTGCGTTGTAGCCATCATAGTAAGCCACCCAGATAGGATACTGACGATTGCGATCATTTTTTTTTTAAGAAAAAAAATACTGTTATCATGGATAAATCCTATCTCCTTGTAATCTGGCTTGTGCTCAGCCTACGACACTTCACTACATCGACATAAAACCTCAGTAACTGTAGACCTCTGCATTCGATATCACATAACTTAATAAAACTCAGCCTACAAAACAACTGCATGTACAATGCCATCACAGGTACCAAATAACCCAGTTCACGGAAGTGCAACGCCATCCACCCACTGCGCAACCGACGTAGGCTCTCTCCCCAACAACCACCTCAAAACATTGGGACTTCCCTTCAACCCGCGCCGATTATAAAACAAAATCAAATGTTCAACTGCATCACGAACAAGATCACCCCGTAAATCACCCTCACTCGCCAGTCCGAGACCCAGCTCCCCATCTCCCTTCTCCTCCCCACCATACAAAGCCCGAATGAGTTTATTCACGCCCGTATCAAAGGAAGGCGTCTTCAGCTCGATTTTCTTCCCAATGCGCCTTTCGATGATTTGGATAATCTCCGTCTCGGAGATGGGCATGGTCGAGCATAGGGGGTATTCGGCTAGATAATGCTCTTCTCTCTCGTTCAATACCTTGGCTGATGCTTCGGCTAAATCCGCCAGGGCGATCACGCTGTTCTCGTGCTCTGGTTTCCACCATTTTTCGAGAACGGGGTTTTCCTGTGCCGCTAGTGCGGCGACGGGGTAGGCGTCTAGGAACTTTTTGGCCTCGTTAGGATCCCACCTTGTATATATACTAGAACATAGACGAAAGTAGACTTACATTTGTCGGCTTAAGAATAGTCCAACAATCAAGCGGACTCAAAAACAGCCGTTCCTCAACATAGCTCTTCAAATCATGTTGAAGAAGATTCCGATGTTGGGTCCCAAGAACGCTCGAGAAAACGAAATGCTTAAACACATTTCCTTCACGTCGAGACTCAGCAACAGCAGCATCGATCAGATTGAAGCCGATTTCTTTTTCATGAGAATGCAGACTCGGCAGGACGGCGTTGATAGCTGTGGCGCCGTGGAGGAGCTTGCGGCAGTCGGATACGGACTGGAGGTCTGCTGTCACGACATCGGCGTCTGGGTAGTTGGCTTTGAGCTTTTGAGCCGAGGTTTCAGAGTGCGCGGCTAGACGGAGGTGGAATTTTCCCTTGTTGTAAAGGAGGGGGATGAGGCGGGAGCATTGTTTGCCACTTGGGCAGGTTATTACGAGGGTTTCGCTCATCTTGGGGTTTGGATAGTGTATTCGGACTGTGGTTTAGGGCAAAGCTTGAGGATGTGAGATCTGGGGCGGGTTAGAATTACCCAAAGCCAAGGTATTATACATGTAAATGGCGTCGTTTACTGAAAAGGTTTCTCACCTCGTCGGAGTTTCTTTTTCATTAAGTACCTCCGGCCCCCAACTACGGTATTAAGTACATATCTTTTCTCTTGGCCGTATTGGGGCTCAGTACTTAATATTATGTGGGCGTATTATCAGAATACCAAACTCCAGTCGAAATGCATTCTAGTAAGATTATTGTCATCACAGGTGAGGTCTACATGCACAGACACTCATGCGGTCCATGGACCTAACTGGGTTTGTATCATAGGCGCCAACACCGGCATCGGGCTGGAAACAGTCAAATCCCTATTGCGATCCAGTCAGAAATACCACATCCTGCTCGGTGGTCGCAATCTTGAAAAAGTCCAACTGGCATGCCAAAGCCTTAGTTCGGAGACACCGGAAAGCTCTGTCGAGCCGTTCCAGGTGGACGTTGGAAGCGACGAGTCGATTGAGGCAGCTTTTAAGCATATCTCGGCCAAATACGATCGGATCGATTGTCTGATCAACAATGCCGGTTAGTGAATCTTCCTCTACCTACTGAAACTCATCTAACTGAAAACCCAGGCGCATGTTTTGATGCCCACATCGCGGACGGCCGCATGACAGCCCGAGAGGCGTGGAATAAAACATGGGATGTGAATGTGACTGGGGCCCATATCATGACTACGACTTTCCTTCCACTGTTGCTCAAGTCACAGGATCCTAGACTGTTGTTTATCACGAGTGGGCTTTCCTCATTGCAGGGCTCTTCAGATCCTAAGAACCCGAAGAACGTTTTCCCACCGGCGGGACTTCCGAAACCACTCCCGTTTGTCGGGTATCGGTCCTCGAAGGCAGGCCTTAACATGGTGATGGTGGAGTGGGCGAAGGCACTGGAGAATGACGGGGTGAAGGTGTGGTCTGTCGCTCCTGGCCTTTTGGCTACTGGGTTAGGGGGTAATACGGAGCTGTTGAAGAGGCTGGGGGCACAGGATCCTAGGATCGGGGGTGATACTATCCGACGGGTAGTTGAGGGAGAAAGAGATGGTGAGGCTGGGAAGGTGGTGCGCGAATACTTGACACCGATTCAGCCATGGTGAAGAATGGTGTTAACGGGAAGTGGCATAATGTCTATAGCCTCGAGGGCACAGAGAGTCTTCTGAATCTAGTTTTGATAATCTCATCGGAGCTACCTAGTCACTGTGATGGTAATATAGTTCATTCAATATTTTATCTGGAACGCATTCTTGATCCTGTGCAGCAGGCTCAACTGTTATATTCAAATCGATGTACCAATACTAGAATAACTCCGCATTCCCCAAGGCAGCGAGTTCATAATCACGTTGTAAATGTTCATTGAAAGCCAATTGCTAAGAATAGGAGATACAAGCTACATCCACCGAAAGCAAAACGCCTAGGATAGCGAGTGGATTCAAAGATAAATAAGGAGCCGAACAGAAACCTAGTTACATAAATCATCACAAGGTGGAGACCGTTGGCACTACATGAGATACAACAAATAATCACCACAGTAGCCCATTCATACTCAAAGACCCAACTTCTTACCGGCCTCACCCCCAATAGTCTCCATCAGGCGCTGCCGAATATGCTCACCAATCACCGTCTCAACCCCCGAACCATCCAAAGCCTGGCACTTAAGGTCCAGATTCCCATTCAGGAAGAACGGTGCACTGTACCTTGGCCTGATGTTGTGGTTGACAACGCGGTGGCGCGCGCTACGGTAGTATCCGGCAGTCCATTTCTGCATCATATCGCCCATGTTGATCACGTAGGAATGTTCCTTGACCGGAACAGGGACCCAAGTCTGCGTTGGCGGATAGAAGACTTCCAGTCCCTCTGTGTCGTCCTCCTGGAGGAGGACGGAGACATTGCCGAAGTCGGTGTGATCGCCCACTAGAACCTTTGTCAGAGTTGCAAACTTCCAAGTAGAATCATGTAATTCTAGGACATACCACCAAATTGGTTATCGTGCTTCACCGGCTGGGGCGCATAATAAAGAAGACGCAGGGGAGCGGAAGGATTAACAGTCAACTCGTCAAAAACATCAGGCGAACACCCCCAATGTTCTGGAAGCCCACGCGCAAGGACCTTGAGGATCACCTTGACCATTTCTAGCATCTTAGCGTGATACTTCATGACAGGAATGCGGAAGTCTTCGTCCGCGAGAACCTTGGGCCACTGGTTAGGGCCCGTGTGGAATGTGCCAGCCTCAGGGGCATCCGCAGGTGTCTCCCGGCCAATGATGAAACCCTTTCATAATTAGCACTTCTCGGTGGGTATTCAGATAGTGACTACTCACCTCCTTTGTATCCGGTAAGAGACCCTCCTGGTGCACCTGCAGCGCAGGCGGCTCGTAGCCACGGAACGAACGACCCATAGCTTTTCCGATCCACGTCTCCATCTTGTCCTCCCTCGGCAGAGAGAAGTACAGTTTGGCGCAGTTCAGGACCGTTTGGCGGTCTTCTTCGGGGATGCCATGGCCGACGAGGTAGAAGAAGCCAAAGGTGGTGCACGCATCGCGCATGGCGTCGACGACTTGCTCCTTAGCACCTGGGGAGGCATTCTCATCGAGGAAAGGACTGATATCTACTGTCGGGATTTCAGTGGGAGGTGCCGCACTGTTGCTACCCATTTTGCCTAGGTTGATATATGCAACACCGGTATAGGATGTAGAGATCCAAAACTTTCAAGTCGACAAGGAAATAGAGTCAATTGTACGCAAACAAGAAACAATGTCGGTTTGTACTACAGATAAACAGGACTGTTCAATCGACTTCTTGTTTCTCTGGTCACATAGCTGCTGTCTAGAGTTGTTAGTACTTTTGTTTGGTCAGCCTGGTCAGCTTCCTTCCAAAATACCCCGTCTTAGCTAACGATCCATGGGGCTGATTCTAAAAGATTACTCCGGGTGTCTTAGAGGCTAATCATTGCATGCTGAAAGGAGTATCCTTAGTCTGAGCTAACCTTTCGCAGAACTATCTTAAGCATTATTCCGGTTCAATTCTTTACAAAGTTAGTCCGGGATTGCTATTGCCAAGAGAGTCAGCATATTCTGAAAGGTTACTCCGGGGCTGGAGATGGTGAGAATGGATTGAAAGTAGTAAATACTAACGCGAAGGAGGAAATACACACCACAAAGGAAAGAAAATGGCATGATATAGTGAAATAAAAAGTAATTAAAATATAGGGAAACAAGATAGAAGCCAAGATTTGTCAATTCTAGTATAAAAATTTGCAAAATCCGTGAGGATACAGCAGAATACAACATTACTCACAAAGCGAAAGACTCTACTCCATCGTACCAAGTCCACCTTTTACACTTCCTCCTAAGTCCAGAATCACTTAACTGTCGCTCAAAATGTCCGAAATATACGACTGGCTCGTTCAAATCCCCGTGAATGCGAGCGATATGCAAGCGTGGACCAACGCCCGTGAGGAGCATCTCTCGCACCTCAAACCATACGTCGCCGATGGGACTATTGTTTTCGCAGGTCCCACCCTGGCAGCACACCCCAAGGGACCAGAGGACACACTGGAGATCACAAGCAGTGTCATGATGTTCCGAGCGAGGACTGAGGAGGAGGTACGCTCTATCGTCAGCAAAAATCCATTTGTCGAGGTGGGAGTTTGGGATATGGATCGTGCGGTGGTGGCGCCTTTCAAATGTGGTGTGAGGACGGGGCCTTGAAGATTGACTTGAGCTTTGGGGTGAATTTTTATTGTATTTCCAATTAGTGTAGAGCTGGCGGAGTGTGTGCTTGTAATGATTGTTACTTTTGTAGATGATCTATCTGACTTTAAAAAATGTATGACAGATTCATAAGTGGAGATTAGTTAAACTTGCATTGGGGATATATTCTAATTAAATTACTAATAGCGAAAACAATCGTAAAACCACTTCCAGTCTCTGTCATCACTTAAAGTCCATTCTTTTAGTCGTAAGTTCATATCATCCAGAAAGCAACACACTCTTCTCTCAACCATGCGGGTGCATCGAAGGAGAATCACTTATGCCTTAATCGCAAGCTTGGGGCCGTACTTAGCCACACGAATCGCAGCGTATAACAGACCCGCGGCGCAAGTCGGTACACCACCAAACGTCCACAAGCTGTGCCAGTTAAGGGAGTCACCACCGGTCTTAAGGATCGCGCCACTGCTGGGGCCGCTGATGAGCACACCCAGAGCGATAATGGCATAACCCATACCGACTCGGGTTCCCAGTCTCGATTTATCTTTGGTGAGCATGGCAAGGCACATGGGCGGCAAGCCAATAAGAGCACCACTCATGAAGCCGGAGAGCAGCGCCATGACGATAATCGCTCCTTTGGAGTGTACAGCCATCATGACCAGCATCAGCATACCCGAGATTAAAGAGGCCGGTACGAGAAGGTTGAAGGGACCCATCTTGTCGGCCATCTTGTTGGGGATGGTTCGGCCAAACACAGATGCAGCGTTGAAGATGGTAACCAGATAGAAGGCGAGAGATTCGTCGGTGATGTGCTCCGCAGCGGAGTAGTAGGAAAGGTAGAACAAGATAACGAACAAACCCATATAGGCGATGAGAGAGGTGAGGATAAATGCCATGTAACTGACGTCAGTGAATGCGGTCGGGTCCAAGATGGCGCGAACCTTGGGGGGCTTAACACGAAGCTTCATCACGGACAAAGGGATCAGTAGGGTTCCCAGCGCGATGAAGCCAATGACGCGAACAGCCCAAGGGAAGCCGATCTCGTTGATCAGTCGATACAGAACGACGGGATAAATGACACCTCCAAGGGCGGAGCCCGAAGCAGCAACACCCATGGCCATGCCCATTTTGGTGCTGAAGTACTGAGGAATGATAGCGACACAAGGCACGAAGAGACAACCGGTGCCGATACCGACTACGAAGCCTTGGGCGAGCAGAACTTGCCAGAAGGTCTTGCAGAGACTGAGCATCATATGCCCAAAGACGACCATGAACCCACCGACGATAAGGAGAGTGCGGAGAAATCCACGGTCGTAAATCGGGCCAACAAAGAGTCCCACGAAGAGCAACATAAAGGCTGCGATCGAACCGACCCAAGAAATATCGGAAGAACTTGCGGTGAACAGCTTCCCAGATTCATAGTACGTCTGGTAGGCACCGAAGGTGTTGAGAATACCCCAGGTGTTGAAATAGAGCATGAAACTGCCCAGGACATTCAACCATGCCAGGGTACCTCCATTAGGCGGGGGCGATGGTCCACCGGCCGGTCTGGATGGTGGTTCTTGAGGCTGGGGAGCTTTAGTCTCCATGCTCTTCTCACTTCGTGTAGTCGTATCGCTCATGGTGGTGGTTTCGCGATTCAAGTTCCAGCAGTTTCCGTTTCGATTCTTCGGAGACTTGACTGAGTTCGGGGTTATGCAAAGGAGTGACAGCCGTAACTATAATTATAATATTCCTGATGCAAGCTTGATACTAGTTTGCACGATCCAAGCTTCCTATAAATTCTCCTTTTGCCTTTATATACAAAATTGTTAGTCGGGATTAGATTCGGGCGCCCTCGGGAAATTAACTCCATTTGTAAATACTCGGAGATATTTGGTCTTTCAGCCTTCGGAGGTTGTTGGTCATCCATGGATCTCATCCTTGTCATTTCCTTGTCATCTTCCTCTTAGGGCTTCTTTATGCGCGTGGTGATCGCCAGCGTTGAAAAAGAAACTCCGAATGTCCAATCATCGTCCCCCACACGGCCCGTTCCGCCCCACTTGAGCCCGAAGCCCTTCGGCGTTGACTTTGTTCGAGCTTTCCTGTAGTTACTAAAGAAAACTTTTAGAAGAATAGGGGAAATTATTTCAAATTCGATTGAGTAATATTGGACAACCCCTGAAAAGTAGATGCGTAGTGAGTTGTTCGCTGACAGGAAAGTCCGCCCAAGATATATATTCTTTTACACAGCGGCCTCATTTAGCTTCAAGCCATCCCAATCCTTCACGACTATCAATAACTATATACGAGAGTTGTATATAAGACTGTCAGCCCATGTAAAGAATATCACTGTCGTAGAATTATCTGATACACTACTCTACCAAGTGAGCAAATGTCTATGTAAACTCCAGAATCGCTCCAATAGAGCTTGATCTGGCTATTATCCTCTGGACACATCACATAGCTGCCCAACCGTCCTTTCGGACCAATAAATCCAGCACGTCTCGCAAGTCCGGATTACAAAATGATAGTGAATGCCAACGACTCAACACTCCACCTACCGCGAATCCTCTGTCTACACGGCGGCGGCACCAACGCCCGCATCTTTCGCATGCAATGTCGAGTCCTCGAACGGATGCTCCGCCCACACTTCCGACTAGTATTCGCTGAAGCGACCCTCCCAGCACGCCCAGGCCCCGACGTGACGTCTGTATACAAAGACTACGGGCCATTCAAGGCATGGCTGCGCGTACGACCCGAAGACCCAGCCGAGGACGCACACAACATCGTGAGAAAAATCGAGGACTCGCTAGCCGCTGCACGACTCGCAGACGACTGTCGAGGCGCGACGGGAGACTGGGTCGGTCTACTTGGTTTCAGTCAGGGAGCTCATCTCGCCGCCGGCATCCTTGCTACACAGCAGGAGCTGCGGCGACGGAATGAAGATGACGAGGTGTGGCCGGCCTTCCGATTCGCCGTGCTGTTGGCGGGACGGGGACCACTGAGATGGCTTCGTCCGGATCTCCCTATGCCTCGAGGCTTTGTCGATGCTGCGCAGTGTACAACTGGTGGTGAACCGTTGGTTGCTGTGGACTTGTTGCAGGATAACCGCCTACAAACTCCGACTGTTCATGTTCATGGGTTGGCGGACCCAGGATTGGAGTTACATCGCAGGCTTCTTTACCAATATTGCGATACTCGTATGGCGGCACTTATTGAATGGGGTGGGAATCATCGCGTACCGATTAAGATTCGAGATGCGGCTTCCGTAGTTGAGCAGATACTATCCGTGGCTCAGCAGACGGGCGTCCTAGATGGAAGTTTGTAGGTTACCGACTGTCCAGTAAAGCGGCACGCTATGTGAAATCATGGTGGGATATTGTACATATTTAGAGTAGAGACGTTTTATAAAGGGTGAGGCTGGATATCCTTTACGCTATACAAGGTTTATTCGAAGTCACATAGTACGTCTTTTTTGCTGAGTATGACGAGTTACTGGTCTGTGATGAGTATTTGATCGGCTCATGGCTTATCTCAAAGGGTTAACAATACGATAGAACCACACAAGGAGGCTAAAGTTTGGACCCCACCGGCCACTAGCTTCGGAATAACTTTATGGATTTAACTTGGAAGATGATAATAACCATAGAAGTGGGCCAAGATCATTGGGTCGATTCAACCATATGAACGTCCAAAGGAAGGAAGGGTAGTGTCTAGAGAATGTTATTCCGTAGCTACTTTGTTGACCTTCTTATGAGGGAAAATGTCCCCGGAGAAACTAAATACGATGTTGTGCACTATAGGCACCCGGGGCTGAAACTGCTCTATTTTATAAACCTGTAAGTGTGGTATGGCTATCAGGCTATCTAATATATTAATAAAAGTAACTGAGAATAGAGGAAAGTCTGCATACACAACTTAGAACGTTTCTGATACCGCTTTAGTCACTTGGCTACTTGCCTAGAAACGAGGATAATGATCGTCCCTACACCAGAGATGACCACAACCCCAGAAATTGCCATTGTCGGTGGTGGCATCGTCGGTCTTGTCCTCGCTGCCGGGCTCACTCGGAGAGGTGTCCAAGTCAAGCTTTATGAACAAGCGCGCAACTTTCGAGAGATTGGTGCCGGCATCGGATTCACGAAGAACACGGTGGGATGTATGGAAAAGATCAACCCGGCCGTCGTGACGGCTTTGCGCTCGGGTGGCGCTGTCAATGTTTCGTTAGACCAGCAGGATCCCAAGTCGTATCTGCGATGGATCGACGGCTACGGTCAGCAACGAGAGGACGATCCGATGTACCAAAAGCCGCTGTTGAAGCTTGACGCCGGCGTCAAAGGATGGGAGACGGTTCGTCGCGATCAGTTCTTGGAAGATCTTGTCAAAGTCATCCCTGAGGGGGTTGTTCATCTACGGAAGCGACTGGAAACTATCGACGACAACGAGAACGCGGAAAAGGTCTACCTGAACTTCACTGACGGAACTAGAGCTGAAGCTGACGCTGGTAAGTTTTGAATGTTTGCTTTGTGGCTCGTAGTCCGGCTCGGCTGATAATCACGTCCAGTCATCGCATGCGACGGCATTAAGTCCAGAGCACGACAGCTCCTACTTGGACAGGACAATCCTGCCTCTTATCCCCAGTATACGCACAAGGTCGCTTACCGCGCGTTAATCCCTATGGACAAGGTTGTCGCAGCGATTGGAGAATATAAGACCTTCCGCCAGCATATGCATGTCGGTCCGAATGCACACCTTATCCATTACCCCGTCAACACTAACACAATAGGAGCCACTGTCGTGGTCTCCGACCCTAACGACTGGCCACAAGACAAGCCTACGACGGCCCGTGCGTCTCGTAAGGAGGTTTCCGAAGCACTGGCAGGCTGGTGTACTCCGGTCCGTAACCTTGTCGAACTGTTCCCGGAAGAGCTAGACCAGTGGGCACTCTTCGATCTGTTTGAATATCCAGTACCCAAGTACAACAAGGGGAGGGTATGCTTGATGGGAGATGCGGCGCATGCATCGAGCCCCCACCACGGGGCCGGAGCCTCTTTCGGAATCGAAGATGCGCTTTGCATGTCCACATTGATGTCCGAACTTATCATGGATCTCCGGGAGCATCGCACATCCAAGGCGACTGCGTTGCGGACTGCATTCGAGACGTATGATAAGATCCGTCGGACAAGAACGCAATGGCTGGTCAACAGCAGTCGGCGCGTTTGCGACCTCTTCCAACAGCCAGAGTGGGCTAACCCGGATAAGCGGGTCAAGACCGAGTCCTGCTTTGAGGAGGTCAAGGATCGTTCGTTTAAGATCTGGCACTTTAATTCTGCTGCTATGGTTGATGATACGATTCGCGAATATAGGGAAAGCATGAATTTGGCCACGAACAAGATAAAGAGCGTTAATGGTAACGATGGAGTGAGCGTGGGTTATGGCACCAACAAGGCGTAAGCCTCTTTCATTTAGACTTTCATATCTCATTTACAAATCCTAAGCAAGCCTATGAGATCAGGACAAGGTTTGCATATCGTCCGATTAGTACGTGCAGAATATCAAAGACTAGTTGAGTAATTCAAATTCAAATCCAAATCTATAATATTGACAGTCAAGACAAAACACATTAATCCCTCCACAAGCAAGCCCTAACTCCCATAAACATAAGAAAATCGTCATACCCAATTACAAGTCAATACCTATTTCCCCTCCAACCACAACGCTTTCACATCCCTCTTTACCCCCTTAGCCAAACCCTTGATTTCTTTCTTGAGCGCCTTCTTCTCCTCCTTGGAATATTGGCCATTCTTCTTGGCTGCCTTCACCTCACGAACATATCCTGTCAAGAGGCCCGAGGCAGTTTCCACCGCACATTTGGTGCACTGACGCTCATCCGCAATGTCATTGAGCGCCACGGTGAGTGCTTGCAAGATCTCCTTGGTTTGAGGCTGTTGAAGTTGGTGATCCAGATGAGGAGTCTGAGAGGGTCCATGCACAGTACATGACGAGCTAGATCTTCCGTTAGAGCTTGTAGATAGAATCATGTGGAGCCCTTGGCTTACCCTTGCTTCTCGGAGTAGATAGACGAGCCCACTGAGACGTGGGACTGGGACTTTGCGTCGCCCTGGAAAACGGTCTTTTGGGTCATTTTGCTTTGTTTAGGTGAAACTGTTTTGAAGCAATGAGAACTGGTTATTAAGATTGTTCTGAAGTTTCTCGATATGGTCTGATGAATTGTAAGAAGAAGGTAGAGTAGGGCTGGGTTTATATGTAGCGACGACCAGGAGATGGGTATTTCCGAAAGGAGTAAATATCCCGACCTCGGATATAGGGGCTCGGCCGAGGGATTCGGAGTTTCTTTTTGGTCAGCAACCAGTATGTCACTTTAGGCCTACCAAATGTCAGAATTACACTGAGTATCCATCAGAGTTGCATACTACTTAATAGTTGCCTATGCTGACTGAAAGTGGCTTATGATACTCAATATTTGCCATCGGGGATATCTCTCGGGCTATTTTACAGTTTTAGAGATGTTCAGTCATACGAGGCCCCTATTTGACGTCGTGAAGTGAAGTGCGTACTGGTGACGTAGAAAGCTATTTTTGCTAATTTAGCATGCATTATCATATGTTCTAGTTAATGCTATTTATTGGAGTTATGTGGTTTCACCCTGGGAGGCCGATGAGAAGGCGCTAGAAATGCAGATTTTGTACAAATGAGGTCGTTAAGAATAATGACTGATGCAGAATACCCTCAGAAAGCTATACCTGCTGGCAAAATCTCCAGATTACGCTGAAGTTCAAGCTCAAGCATCCTGGCAAGATTATTAACAGGCGCCATATGACTCAGGGCAGCAGAAATGGCCTTGCACTGTGTCGCGAACTTTTGGTTCAACCCCTTGCATGAGCGGGAAAATTCGGCGCAGATGAATAGCACGATCGGTGTGAATGGATGAACCTAATCTTTCAATCAGAACTGCTTGAATATCCCTTGAGGGACTAGTCTTGCCTTGAAAGACCCCATCTGGGACAGCTTGTGTGCCTGGCTGAGGACCCTTTCCATCGCCATGGAGGCCTTGGCCTCATAGCTTCCGTACATGTCCTGGTACATTCCTGCACCTTCAGACACCGAATTTAGGGCAGCAAAAAGAACTAACACGGCGGCTTGCGCCAACATATCGATAAAGATAAATGTGGGATCGGATGGCTCGAAGTCAGGAGCGACGCTTGACAATGTCATCTGGATCTCTGGGCTCAATATAATGTCAAGTGCTCGATGGCGTGCAATACATTCCTGGGATGTGGGGTCTAGGATCCGTTCCACATTGCATTGGTTTCGGTGAGAGAGGCAACGTGCGAGGATGGTGAGCATGACGATAGAGTTCGCGTAGGGCGATAGCTGCTGATCGCTTTTTTTCGCCATGGCCGGGGCCAGATATTCGGTCGTAACAGCCTTTTGATTTTGAAATGCCGTCTCTGGGGCGGGCAGGCGTGTGAGGATCTATGTAGGTTAGTAATTCGTGAGCTACTTGGTTACCTTTCTGGACGACAGAGCTGCCACTTGCCATTTGATCATTCATGGCCAGCGGCAGACCGTTGACGAGATTCGCATAGCGATCGAGCGCATAGGCTGTCCAGAATGTCCTCCGTCTCTCCTCGATCTCGACCCAGGAAAGACTGGATGTCTGCCAGGTATTCGGGTTATCAATCTGATCAAGTTTCACAAGATGGACAAGATGGAAGCAGCGACCAGCGCTAATCCATCCCTTGCTGGGGTTGCTCTTTAGAATCTCGTAGAGAACCAGAAGCAGCCGCGCCTGGACCACCTCGATGGGAAGAGCCTCGTTCGGCATATTTTGCTCCCACACATCCAATAAGCAGCAGGTGTGAGTGTACAAAATTGGTAGAACACCCTGGAATTGACTTCCCATTGACGCTGATAACGTTCGCATGGCATATTGCAAGGTGGTGAAGGGCTCTCTTGCGTCTGACTCGTGGGCTGCCCGTGTATAGTACCGCTGCTGATGAACGATGGGAGCGAACGGGTAAGCGCGGTCGAAGAAAAGATCGTCTCTGTGACCGACAGTTAGTCGATTCCTGCCTCGTTGAAAGTTTAGTATGTATTGAAACTCTTACAGATCTGCGCGCTCTAGCGCTGACAGCTGAACGGGTAAGTGGATTGGCAGGAACTGCGGTGTCATTGCCTGGGAGCCCAGTTCCAGTGGGCTTATGCTGGTGTCGATCGGACATGCAGACGACACTGATTTGGGTATATTGCTTGGTGGGGTTAGTGCTGGGGAAATGTATGTAGACTCCGGGAAGGGTCCGATATGCTTGCACCATTCGCTATCCAATTCCAATGAAGGGATTGCCGATGGCCATTTGGGGAGTCCGATTGACTGCGCATCTAAAAAGAAATCATCCGGTGATCCCTGTGAATGTATGACACTGCCCTTTTCAACGTCGCCAATGTCGACATTTACCGATTGATCTGCCTCCAATACTTGTCGCGCAGGTGTTGAGCTTTCTCGTCTGGTCGGTTGGGCCTCGGAATTCTCATATAACTGGCGCTCGAGCGATGCTGTACTTTGCGTGATCAGATTAGCGAAAAGTTCTCTTAAGCAACTTCTCACACAAGTGAATCCCACCGATGCGCGATCTAAGAATATTGACATGACCCTTCCTCGGGCCTCGCGGTCGCCGCGTCGTATTCGTAACACATGGTACACCCAGGTTGCGACAGGTGCCACATTGCGGCTGGCTCATATCGCACTTGAGTTTACGTGAGCGACATTCTTCACAGGCGAGCCCTTTATTTTGACGGCGGCTCTTTGCCGGTTCGTGGGTGATGTTGCTCATCAGGACTTGTGGTTAGAGTAATGGCGCTTTCATTAGGGCTGAGTTCGACAGGGGTGCGAGCGGCTCAGCTCAATTTCATTCTCAAGAGAAGACCGGCGTACGGCGTAGTCTCTGAGAACCACAAGATAAGCTGTGCGCTTTATTCTTCAAAGTATATAGTGTCTTACAAACGTAAGGCAAGCAATCCCCAATCGAAAGGGCCACACAATTGCTTTCCTCAGTTAGAACCCAGTGCTGGTCATTGTGGGAACAGACGTGAGCCTTAATATCTATACTGTCTAGAAGTGCGGACTAAAGGTATTGAATAAAAATTCAAGCGCAGGGAAGAGGTCAATAATTCTATATCTAGTCTGTCACTGCGGTGGTAGAGCATACAATCTCACTTGGAGGCTGAAGACAATGTAAGGGCCTGATTTTCAGGCCCTGGCTGCAGAACGCCACGTGGGAACAGATTGCACCAACCCCTCGGAAATTCCGAGATCAACTGAATCTACTCTGTATAATTTACTGAGTTATAAACACTTGCGCGCTTGAATGTTTGTTAACATCATGATCCATATCGATACTGACTACAGAATCGCGGTATCGAGAAAATGAACAAACCACATTGAGGCCTCCCCAGTGCCAAGAACATATCAAGCCCTATACGAGGACCCGGTTACAATCATATGAGAATTACGTAGTCATCACCAACTGTTGGTAACTGGGTCCACACCCTGACCTTTCTGCCTAGTGCCAACATAAATGGATGGAACAACCCCATATTCACGCAAAGAGCTGAGTGGATCCGTTTCTCCGCATGGCTGGATAAGTAGCTTCGCCAAATACCAATCATAGCAAAGTTCCAAACCAACCTTACGAACCACATCAGCACTACGCCTTCTTGGTCAAAGCGCCTTGGCGGGGATTAATTTTTTCGCCTATTTCTGACGAATAGGATGACTGACGTCCAATGCTCGCATACGCTGATTGCCGTATAAAGGAAGGATTGACGATCTGTCAGCGCTAATTGACTCGGCATTGGGACGCTCCACTCCTGGGACTTGTGTGGTTGTATCCGCTGTCAAGACTCAAGTACGCATCATGAATACAATTGTATTATCTGGAAGTCTTCTGCTTCAGGTCCTGCAGAACGAACCTGTTGACGTGGTGGCAAGATAGATAAGGAGTTATTGAATAATACGCACGCGATTAGAGCTATCCAAGCCGATCGGAAAAGTCTACGGAAAGTCCTCTTAGCGATGGCATGCATAAAACCAAGGGTTCCATTTCAAGTAGTGGGTGGGCTCCATTGAACTGGACCTTTCCACTGTTGCTTCTGCTTGAGACAGAATTCTACTCCTGTGCCTGTTCGATGACCCGTAGTTTGGGTCATATTGGTATAAAGTTCCGGACAAAAGCTTCGTACCGCTCACTCAATACTCGCCGAAAGCTTACAGTCGGCGCTGACCCTGTGCAGGGATACACGTCAGGAGGTATTTTCATTGCCGAGCTCAAGTAGAACTTCAGGCACGAAACTGTATCTCGGTCATGGGTATAATGTTGATTCTTCCGTTTAGCCGTTAGGAGAAGATAGGACCGTTTGCTTGACATCACAAACGTCCAATTCCCACCGCTCTATCCCTTCTTCATTCAGCGAGGTTGTTACCTTGATGTCGCATTCGTCAGGTTGTGCCGAACGCATCAGACGAGGTTTCGCATACGAATCCCCACACAGGAACCATACATGCCATAATCATATCGGCCATATGCCCCATCTAGGAAACAGCTGTTAGCGTGCCATACTTTAATCAAACGTACCGAAGGCCATCCCCAACATAGTTATGGAAAACTCAGCTGGTCTCTAGCCTGGCTGAGCCTCACATAATCGACAGAAGTCTCTATCCAGACCGTTCATTTCCCTACCACAAGAGCTTCTACAGCTGTTTCCTCGGCGCCTTCCTCCCCTTTCTCAGCAACGAGTTCTCCCCATTACCACGCCCACCTCTAAACACTCCATCCCCATCAACCAAGCCCCGTAACTCCCACACATCAGTCACAGCAACAGCCACAGCCACAGCTTTGGTATTAACAAACTCCGCAGCAACTCTAACAGACTCCACCAACTCCCCCTCCCCAAGACGCTTCACTAACAAAAGCGATTCATCCTCCAGGGTCCTCCAATCCCCAATCAGAAACACAAATTCATCCACAACAGTCCCCGTCGCATACTCACGCAAGAACCGAACTACCTCATTAACCTCCCACCCCAGAAAGGGTGATTTATATGAAGAATCAACAGGAGGATACGTCGCATCGTCATGGGTGTATCTACATAGCGCGTCTCCGGTATTTTCTATGAGTAGGAGCGTTGGGGGTGAGTTTATATCGATGGCTTGCGCGTAAGCTTTTGTGATAATTGAGGTGAGAACCTGGGTTGTGTTTAGTTCGCATTATAAGCTGTGAGATATTTTATAGGAGGTTTATTCGGCGGTTTTTTATTCCGTACTTGAGCTGGGATGTCGTGAAGACAGATTATTGGGATGAGGGATTCGCTCATTTTGGGTTTATGGGTTCGTTATGGTTCGTGTGTAGAGAGTTGGGCGTTAACTTTTGGTGTGTTGCACTCGGTTTTAATAGGGACAACCCTAGTTGATGGGTGTTCTATATATCAAGTCAGTTGAAGGCGTAACCGGTTGGATGGAGAAGGAAGAGAGAAAGACAGGTCAAGGTCAAGTAGGGTCAGGGTGGGGAGTAGAGTTCAGCCAAGCAAGAACTTAAATTGGCGCCACATGGGGCAACCTCCACGCGGGAAAACGGGTAATAAAAGCAGGTTTAGGACAAAGGAAAATTACATACGACAGAATGACAGTTAGTGTGAAAGTAAGAAACGCAACTACTTCCACGTGTCTCGGACTGCCCTTTGTGACCACTGATATGAGCTGCGTCGCGTTTCTTTTTCGGTAATATTGCCACTCGAACTCTAAGCAAACCTCCGATGTCAAAGAGCCATGGATGGTAGTGTGACACATTGGCGTGTCAAACCAATCGAGCGAGCAATCTGGACGCGTTTGGGAGAGAACTTAGGGCACGCCAGCTGACACGGAACAAAGATATTCCCCCGGGTTTGATGTCGCTCGACCCGTGCCATGAGAATGGCTAGACTGTTCTTGGTATAGCCAGTGGTGGGCTGTGTTTGCGTATGTTTGTGTATCTCAATTTCACACTCTTCGGCCCCCCTTGGCCTTCCCTTTTTTTTTTTTTTTTTTTTTCCTTCATTTGTTGCATTTGGGAAATCGATGGTTGGAGTTCTTTGTCGCAATGGGCTCACTGAGAGAGTACCTAAAAGTGTTTCGGTAAAAATTGCCCGAGGCAGAAATGTTAAATACACATGCGTGAATTCTTTCTATATCTAGGTACTTTCTGTAGATAGGGCTTTCCTTCGTATACGGGCTCCATTTGTCGCTGGTCGCGTTTTCGCACGGGTGTGGGCATAGACGTGGGACATCAACATGGGCATGGGCGTTAGCATACTGGAAACATTGATCGACACCGGCTTACTGAATCTGTGGGCTTGTCGTACATCTAAATTGGCGTAGGATTCCTTGTCGCAGGGGGATGTTTGGAAATCGGGGGCTGATACTGCATTTAGGGCAAAGTGTACTGGTTCTCTTCCGCCGGGGGGTGCGATATGGTTCGTAGAGGAGGGAGGGGTATCTTTTCGTTAGCAATAGGGCGCTAGGGTCGCAAGGTGTCGCAATCGAAAGAGTTAGATAGGGCCAGTGATGGTGTTAATGAAACAACCATCCATTTAGTAGTCGCGCTCGGGGTCAACTCTGTTCTTTTTCCGTCCAATACCAACTAAGCCGATCATCTCGGACCAGAAGCCCACTGGTGGGGTAGTTATGCTATTCTCATAGGCGTCGATTTCCGGTCGCTCCCAGACGAGGTCTACCTCGTGGGGTCGGACATAACGAGTCTTCTTGACGACCTTCCAGAAGATAAACAGGCAGGGCGCTACCAGCTGCATCGTGTAGTTGGAGAAGAAGTTGGACACGCTCCATGGGGTGAAGGAGCTATATCCGTAAAAAATGATCACGAGAGTGTGAACCGTTACGGCGAGGTAGGCACCATAGGGCTGGAACCAGCCACAGTAGGGCATCTTCGTGCGGTCAACGCCTTGGGCCTTGCAGGCCCAGTAGTAGTTGATGAAGGTGACGGACATAATGAAATAATTGATCAGGCCACCACCGGTGACGAGATTGACGAACCAGGTAATGGCCTGCGCGGAGCCACTCCCGACCTGGAGGAAGGAGAGGAAGGGGAAAAGCATCACGACACAGAAACAATAAATCGGCACGCCGGATTTGTTGCAGTAGCGTAAGAAACGAGGAGCGCGGCCCTCCACAGCCAAACTGTACAGGGATCGCGTGGCGCAATAGGTATACGTATTGCCGGCAGAAAAGATGGAGGTGAAGATCAACGCGTTGACGATGTGCGGAAGCACACTGATGCCCAGGTTTTCCATGGCAATCACGTACGGCGACGCTGCTGCTGTGCTGCTGTCACCATCACCAAAGTAGATATTGACAAGAGCCGGGTCATTGTAGGCGACCACAATTCCCACAGCGAGTGAACCGATAACAAAGAAGATACAAAATCGATAATAAACGGTCTTAAAGGCCGATTTGATGTAAACGCTTGGGCGCTGAGCCTCGGCGGACACCATAGAGATGTACTCAGGACCGACAACACAGAAGCTCGCGCTCCAGAGAGCGGCAAGAAACCCTTCAAACCGACCCAGATCGCCCTTGGTATGAAACTCAGCGAATGGACCAGGGTTATTCCAGTAGCGAAACCCATAGACGTCGTGCTGGGGATTACCGCCGACCATTGTCACAAAGGTAAAGGCGAAGAGGATAAAAATCAGAATCAGCTTGCCTCCGGAGAGCCAGAATTCTGCCTCTCCGTAGAATTTGACCGCAAGGATGTTCAGAGAGCTATATAAATTCGTCTGTCAGTTTACAATTTCAACCAAGACCCCCCTCATTATGGGGTGGTAGTCCATCAAAGAGCTAGATCAGATATCCTTACGCGTAGCAAATAATAACAGCGGCACAGATTCCTGCCGTGGGGCCAGGTTCCGTCACAGTGGGATTCCAGAAGGACATGACCATACTGAGTGCCGTGATCTCAAATGGAATCAGGAAAGCTTCATAGAAGAAGAAATTCCAGCCGGCAAGGAATCCAAGAGCATCATCCACCCAGTAGCCCGCAAGACGGATAAAGCCTCCGGACACCGGCATATACGTATTCATTTCAGCGATCGAGTTATTCACCAGTCCAAGGATGCAAGAATAAAGTGTGTAGGCAATAAACAGGCTGCCAGGGCCACCCTTCGCGAGACCGCCGCCAATGCTAATAAACAGGGCCGTGCCGATCGAGCCACCGGCGGCGATGAGCTGGATTTGACGGTTACCGAGCCGGCGATGCAGGGTCCCCATGTTCTCCCCGACATGAATACTACCGCCCTCTCCTGAGGTGGAAGGTTCAAGCTGGGTGGTTTTCTCCTCGTTCAGCCCCATCTTGGCGGTTGCAATGGGAATAGAACGCGGAAGAGGTGAGGTTTTTAAAAAAGTATTCGAGCGAAACCCGGGCAGATTGGCTCAAAAGATAAGAAAAAAGAGATAAGATAGGATCAGGAAAGAGAATTGGCATAGGGTATTGGATTGCGATAAGACAAGAGGGAGAGATGAGGGGGAATTGCAGCGCATAATAAATGCTGTATGAGAGCAACGAAGAAAGGGAAGTTGACTTGACACTCTCACGGCGTGCTCTATCCAACTCGTGTCGTACAGAAGAATTCTTGTCCACAGGGTGGGCGATGCTGCGATATTTAATCTTAACAGGACGCTAGGCAGGCCTCTTTTTTATTTTATTTTATTTTATTTTTCCGGCTTCTGCAGCTAAGCAATGACGCTGCGTATGCAGTTTACCCGGTCGTATCTGAGGAAGGTTATCTTGGCCATTTACCGATCTCTCAGGCCAAGCCCTAAGGCCGGCCGCCCCCAACCGCTCCACGACCTCCCCTCTCATGCCATGCATGTTACATTTCAATCTCGGCGTACACCTTTTGTTCACAATTCTAGTAACTGGTCACACCCCTACAATGAGCCAGGGATCCGTGAGCGCCCAGCATGCGCAATAATATACGGCAACCGTAGGCTAGCCAGTCAAAGCCATTGATTGCCCAGTGGCCAAGCCGCTTATCGTGTCTGAGAGCCGAACGATCCAAAGTTCGAGGGTTAGCGTCTAACAAAGAATTACTGGTGGTTATCTTAAAACGCCAAAGGGTCCCAGCCCATGGCACTATTATGATAAAAGATTTCTATCTTACCTTCGACAGGCCAAAATAGGCTCGGGTAGGTAGTCCTCGAATGTATCTTATCCCTACACACACGCACACATACTACTGAGAGAGAATAAGTCACAGAGACGGGGCTCCCTCTCTCGGACTTTTACTTTATTAAATTGCGGCAAAGACGGGGTTCCTGGTAATATAATTAACCCTAGAAAGGAAACCAAGGGCCGGTAAACTGGATACAGACACTTTTGGTGGATGGACACTAGGAAGCAACGTAATTTTTGGGAGGTTGAAATATGGACCCATATGATGTTGTCCAATAGGATTGTGGCTGATTTCGTGGCGATGGACACTAACAATACGAGGGTGTGGGGGAGAAGAAGGAACAGGCGAAAAAAAAAAATGAAAATGAAAAACATACAACAGAAGGGATTCGCTGGTGGTCACCCACCCAACTACTAACCTTCCGGCGTGTGGCTTAAGTACGGCTGAGCGGACGGGAAGCCCTGTTTTCCACACCCTATGGTCGTATGTACTAATCTTTTACTGGCATAGAACTATATACAATTTATAGAAGAAGAGAAATCAATGCTCTGGCTCCCAGTATCAGTGAAGACTGCAACACCAATTGATTTATTCCAACTGTACTATCTACCTATTTCACAAGACCTATCGAGAAATAAATATAGTAATATTATATATATATATAGCTTCTTGGTTTTCTTTAACCTAGAAACTGTTATAGTTTCTATTGTGAAAGTCAAAATAAACATATATTATAAGCCATGCCATAGAATATATATATCAGTAATAGATAGGAGATAACCTAAATCCTATCTACTCGCCTCAAGCTACCCACAAAACTACCTACAGGCCCAGTATAACCCCAGATTAGGATAATAGACCCAGTGGAGTTACTCACAACTCTTGACGTGCGATAAACAACCATCCTGCATGAAGCTACTAGCAAAATCATCCGTCGAGAGTCTGTTTTCGCCTCTCTAATCCGAACACTACGAAAAGCCATTACCTGATTGGGATAAATGATCCCTGCGAGAAGATAGCGGATACTGGCAGGATCCCGAAGCTCAAGCTTATTATAGTCATCCGATACGTTATCTCGGGTTTAGAGTAGACTCAAATCATGTCTGGCACACTGGGCGGGATCTAAGCGTGGTCTTGTGGCGTCGTAGGTTCCTGGTACTTTTTACCGTTCAACCTTCGTAATTCTCGCACAATTTAAGTTCTGTCACTGCCACCCTGTCAGAAGCATCCTATGTGCTGAAACAAAATATAGCGATGCGTCGTTGGTCACGCCAGGACTGTATGACCAAACACAGGTCATCAATCCAGATCGAGCCCGTACACACTGCCAGGCATGACTATTTGGGAGCACATTTTACCCACGACATTTAACGGGCCCTGTGGATAATCTTAAAGGGTAGCTGTGGAAAGTTTACTTGGGACCCCTGCACCAGTCCGTGCGCTTATCAACGATTGACGAGAGAAATTAGATACAAATCTAGCTGTCAGTTGTATAGATATCTATACTATCGAAGCAAGCCCGTTTAACACACCTAGCATCAGTCACAAGATTAATATAGAAAGCCGTAATCTCGACTACCGAAAGAACATATATCGATAGTAAAAATACCAGGCAGTTCGATAAGTTATTAGTACTTAACGAATCCCTCGCTCTATCCCGGCATATCATGGTGCTATTCGAACTACCAACACGACTACCAAGGGCACGGTACATTCATGGCTACGTAGACAATTCTAGAAATCAATACCTTTTGACCTATAGTCAAACTTTGCATATTCATTCATATCTCCGCTCTCTGGAGGTACGCCTGGCCAAAATCGGTATGAAACCAAATCTTCAGACTTTCTATACCAGCTAGCGGAATTTTTATCCTAGAATAACTCCGTAGGACCTTTCCCCCCCACTGACATACTTGCCTTGGCTCAATATAGTTCCCAGATTGAAACGCTTGGCTACATCTACCGTGCCTGTGTATTGCTGCTACTAAGAGCGTAATACCCCTCGCAGAGCCACGAAGATTTAGCATTAAAGAGCTTTGAATATTAGAACATCATTGCGTAATCATTCCGACAGATTCAACTATTCAAGACACAGGCGTATGTCAAAAGTGATGGTGGGGAGCGGGGATAGGTATGAATCGAAACGGACTGACGGGCCAAATCTGTCGTCTATCTTCCGTGATTTAATCGTACCCCTCAATTTACTTGTGCAATAAAGTTACAAAGTCCTGATATTAACGGTTTTGTAACAAGAATCCACAATGTGTTTGGCCTCGACCATTCTCTTGACCCCATTGAAATATGCTTTAAGTTACCCCGCTGCCCAGTCTTCTCCACCTGCCAAATGAGCTACCGTGGATCGTCTTAATATAAACCTCTCATTCCTCTACTCTACGGAGTCTACTTAATGCCTCAGCACATATGTAATCATTATCCAATAGTTGAGATAGTCGAGTTGCTAAGGCCTTCCACACCCAGATCATAATTCGAATGATGATATCATTCCAGGTCGGTATCTTCAAGCTAGACACGTACTTGGTCGCCATCCGCTTCGCTGTGCAGAAGATCGCACCCTAACTACCAGTGGTTGCCTTGCCAGCTATACTACCAAGACTTGTTTACCATACCCTTAGAGATCACGTCCTCGCCCATGTGTGCTTCGGAGCCCATCTTCACAAATACCTCTCTATTCGCCTCGGCCTGTGCAGGTGTCTCCGATGTTTGCGTAATCCTACCTGGACAGACAAACAACGGGTGATTTCAGCTTTTGGGGAGTGTTGCGACTGAATAATATTAGGAAAGCGCAATATAAGACCATTGTAACTGACCGAGGAGAGGTTTAACAAGAGTAAAGGCCTTCGGGCTTACCAAATACGCAATCTTTGCGTATGCATTATATCAAGCCTAGGCTGTTGCAGCGTTCATCGAAAGCCTCAAGAAGCTAGGTCATTCTAAACACTCAATCAGCCCACCGTTGCTAACTATTTCGAAGTGCTCACTTTACGCAAAGACAAATTAGTCGGATTGGATATGTCAATGCGCTCATTGCCCTAAGGCGCTGGAAAAGGAATCCCCTTCTCGCTGGAGTTGATAACATCTACTCATTGAGCGATGACTCGGGTGAAGAGCTCACGCTGAGCCCGGGGCCGTGACTTATAATACCTTTAGATGCTGTCGCAAAGGCGACCGTTGGTATAAGCCCCCCCAGCTCAATGGCTTCGGATATGGCCCGGCAAGACAGTGAGTTTTATCAGTTTTGGCGCAGCATGATGTTCAATTATGTGGTTGGTCGTGAGAAAAATGTCTGGTTTGGTCCATAAGCGAACTACGCAGTTGCACTTTAGGAGTCAAAGAAGGTGTCTGACGATGTCTGATAAACAGAAAACTTGAGTTATCTGTACGTCAATATACTGAAGCTGCCTGCACCGGTTAAGCGGACGGCTCTGAGACACAGATCACCAATTTCCCCCTTGCATGCCTACCGGCCATAATGTGGAATGCCTGTTTCTCACCTTAGTGCGTCAATCCGTCTTGTAAAGATTATGACCTACCTGAACAGCATCTTCAAACGGCCACGTATCTCCGATCAAGGCACTTAATTGGCCCGCCTCACATAGCTTTCTTAGCCTTTCAAGTTTGTCCGTACTAACTATAGCTGTGACCTGTCTATACTCCCGATCTACCCCTCCTGCCCAGACAGGCAGGAATCTATTCATACCCATTTTTAGCAGGCATGCAAGCATGCCCAAATAAGTATAGGATTCGAGCACCGGTCCAACTGATGTATACGTGTGACCCACACCGCATTTCAAGATTGCGGGCGAGGAATAGCAGAGATCCTGAGATCCACGGGCATCGATGATTTTGTCGAATGGTTCTTCTCCATATACCTCCGTAGGAGTAGTGATAGACAAGTCACTCGAATTGTTGTACGACACAACATCATTGCAACCGAGCGTTTTCGCCACATCAAAAGAAGCAGCAGAGCACCTACCTACAATACGCCCTTCCTCAGCAACAACATGAGAAACAAGCTGCGTGACAAGATGCCCGATTCCCCCGCAAGGAGCATTAATGAGCACCCGATCACCGGGTCGGATATCCGCTGCATCCAAGAGTGTTAGAGCAGTTGTGCCCGAAACGGGTAATGCTGCCGCCTGTGCGAACGAAATATTGGCTGGTTTGCGAGCTATGCAACTCACATCCACGACGAGATATTCCGCCAAGGCTCCGGCACCTTTTAGATGTTGCCCGACAGGAATGGACCCGAAGACGGGCGTTCCAGGCGGGAAGTACCGGTGTTCATTGTCTGGGCTGGGGGCAACTGGGACTTCTTTGCCGGTTGAGAGGATCAGCCCCGAGAAGTCGGTTTCTGCAATACAAGGCTTGTTTCGGAAGATGAATGGGACGAGGTTCATCATTATGGTTGTGCCGGGGTGTAGGGACACGTGGGTTATGCGGATGAGCACATCGGTGTTGGTGCTTAGGGTGGGAATGGGTTGCTGTTGGGATAGTTGGAGAACTCGTTCAGCAGAGCCTGCGTGACTGAACGTCCATGCTTTCATTAAGTTGGGGAGTGAATGTGCCATAGATAGAGGTGTTGTAGGAATAATATGTCTGGAATGCTCCCAGTGGGTAAAGGCTGGCTGTGACGAGGAAGGGCAGAGAAAGATATACTCTCCGGACCTCGTATTTTAACTTTGTGGCTCTTTGTCTGCCACCACCTGGTTGATTGATTGTCTTGGTGTTCATTTATGAGACTTACACATAAAAAAGCAAAAATAAAAGAAACATACAACAGGAGGGATTCGCTGGTGGTCACCCACCCAACTACTAACCTCCCGGCGTGTGGCTTAAGTACGGCTGAGCGGACGGGAAGCCCTGTTCTCCACACCCTATGGTCGTATGTGCTTTCCTTTCTACATACAAAGACTTATATAGAGTAAGATGGCTTGAAACGGAGCAGTTAGTTCGGACTACATATTCATGATGGCTCTGCACCTTTCTGAAATGGCTCGTTTAATCCCTTGGGGACTTTTGAATGATACTTCGTGGACCTACTTTTTGCAGTACCCCCAAGGATTTCCTTTAGTATAGTTTTATAGCATTGGGTAATGCTCCAGTCACAGCAGCTCACGATCTATTTCTCCTTGGAGCCAGAACACTGGAATCCCCAACAGTATAAGATTGTTAAATTTTAAACTTAGGTTATATGATAGATGTGTTTCTATATGACATAAATCTCGTATGAGAAGCTCTATAGCTTTTACTTAACCGAGCCTAGATTTATAACATCACCAAGGGGAAACAGACGTCGAAAACGCAATATAGTAAACTATCTATTAATACTATGAGGACTTGAAAATATCTGAGTAGAATATAACTAACTACCGTAACTGAGGATTCTTTTAGCACATATTCTATTATCTTATTCAGTAATATTTAGACAGAGGGCTTACACAACCTACTTATCAGAAAAAGAATAAAACCTCAGTTACACTCTATAATACTGTTGTTACCAAGGAAAGACGGAGAGCCAAAGCCACCGCGGCTGAAAAGGACAACTGGTAATCGTAGATACCCATATATTTGGAGAAGGCCATGGTTGAGATTGTCGATGAGAACCAATATCAAAGTAAAACAATGACGTCGGACAGACAGCTTCTTTATACGTGCCTTGACGTCACTCGCATTATCCACACATGACGATAAAGGGCAAGTGACCCCTGAGATTTATTCCATGTATAGGTCCAGATGTCCAGGCGTTGTAAAATCATCCGCTCATGATATATGTTTTTCAACTCGGACCCTTGGGCTGATTTAGCCGGCATTGACCTCTCTGCGGTTGCTACTGTAAGCTAATAGTCCTAGGAGCAGAACTTTCAACTCAGCCCAGTTGAACATAACAATCCATAATCCGAATGCCCCATGTACTTTTAGAGTATATGTCCCTGATGATCTTGAAGACATCAAATATCTGCTGGTCCACGCTTCAGACCATCTTCCGGAAATTAGGCGGGTCAGTGTCCAGCTCTCCAGAATCCAGACCCACATAATTTTGATGCTTCGCCTTTGACGAAACAGGCCTCTGGTTATATATATGTACCTGTACTGCTGGGAGAAGTTGTTTATCGGTTGCATTTGGTAGATGTGCCTGCAATCATTATACCTAGTTTCAATCCGCGCACTTTCACATATCTTCGAATCCGTTCTAAACTTATCAAATGACATATTATCTATGACCTGGACCAGTTTAGGGTCGGGCTATTTTCCGCAGTGCTAAAGAGACCCTAGCTAAGCCGCCGAAGACTTGCGAGAGAACTATTACGTCCCAGGGATACACAGGAAGTATCGGATTTGGCTAGGCGCGATGGCTTTACCACGTTCCGCTTCTTCGGCCATTTGAGATGTAATTAGTGACTGGATCTCTACCATATCCTTGATGAGATGTAGCTTTTGAGGGGGAAGACCCTGCAGCTATTTTGCGAGTCTAACGTTGGGTGACGCCCGAGAGGCATAGACTAGAGGAAAAAGCGTGTTGCTAAGGGGTGGGACTGGATTTCGTGTAAAATACAGTGGGCGAGGACACACGACATCAATCATCAATACAAGATCTATTCTTGGGACTAGGGGATCGGCAACCACACCGTATTCGGAGTAAGGTGTTTTAAATTAGGGCTCGGGAATGAATTTCGACGAATGTGGTGGTAAACCTAATTTGAATATCACTGTACATCGCAGATCTCAATCTTCTCAGTGCCAGAAGACGCCAATTTGAATATAACTGATTGGCCACGGAAAGAAGGATCGAAATTCTCGAGGACTAGGTCATTCAGCTTCAATCTTATTTCTGTTTTCCAGCCTTATTACGTTCTATCCATGGAATGAGATTAATATGATCGAAACGATCAAACAGGTCAGTTACTCGTTCATGTAGGAAGTGGATGGGCTTGTGACCTATTAATCGCTTCTATCTCATTAGTTTCATTTCATCATTTGGGAGTCGGATGTGAAAATATTCACCACCAGTGGCTTCTTCGCTACCGCCCAGTCAGGAATTAATCCCTACAGCAGATCTTCACTTTGGAGTTGCGATTAATTAATGCCTCTCAGCACGTAGTGGGCAGTTGTTTTGCAACATTTATTTCTAATCTGTGTAACTTTCTTCTACTCACCTAATGATGATGAATGATTGAGTTATAACCTTATAAGGTACCGCGACGGAAAGGAGACTGGAGGATATCGCAAGATCGTTTAATGTCAAGATTTCCCACACGCGAAGAGAGGCTCACTAGGCAGCGTCGATCCGTCTCGGGTAGGTAAAGTGGACAGTAGTCGGTGACCGTTTCGCCTGTTAAGGATCCTTGGGCCTCGTCTTTCCCTCACCCAACGGCTTTGGTACTGTTTGAGTTCGAAGAGGCAATTTCTTAGCAGGCCATCCAAAAGCAGATAGAAAAATGATTGGTGATACCGCTTGGTAGATGCCATTGAGTAATCATAAGCGCGGCGGTGATTGAGATAGGTAACAACAGTACATACTACAGCAAGCCACTGATGCTGCTGAACCGACCACCTAATAGATTCCTACCTCCCGCACCAGGTCCTCTCTAAATCTAATTCCCTCCCGCCCCCCCTCTGGTCCAGCGCAGGCTTTATAGGCCCTTGTACCAGTCGTTCTAGAATGCTACCACACTCTATTCCATTGCCCCAAGCAACCTAGGTGATCATGCGCCAGATCAAGTTCTATCAGACCAGCTCGAAGAACCATCAATTACGAAACTGTCTAGCCTTTGCGAGGGATATTTACGCTGGAAATATGATACCTGTTGTGGAACAGCGTTTTCACAATGAGCCCGGATACGGAACTGAAAGTCGCCTATCTGCGCATATCTCCAATCATGACATATACCTCGCGTTTGAGGCCCCTCTACTAGGTCTCTTAGTTATTATATATGGCAAATAAGAAAGGAAGAATAATGCTTATTAATAACATATAACAAGGACTTTATATACCACCTTTGACCCACAAGGCTTCCCGGTCTTGTATAATTCCAAGACAAGCGTCTAAGTTTAACGCCGCATGCTGTTTATCCCATCGGCTGCCCGATACCCTCTTGTCGCAGTCAGTCGCCCACTAAGATGCCTGTTGTGGCTTGTTATACCGCGGTATCCTCGTTTATGATGGTTAGCCCTTAACAATGGCGATGGACGAGTTGGGTCGCCCGTTCCTCGGGAGTAAGTGTTGTTTAGAATCCTGCAGCCAAGGCCACTAGGGCAACAATAATTGAAATGTGATACATTTGTCTTCAGAAAAGTAAAAAAAAAATACCAATTATAATGTTAGCACAGTAGAATAGAAAGGAATGTTATATTTCTTCCAGGACCCTTATTTATAACTTTCCAGCCGGGGCAATCTTTCTGGTTAGAATTATTTTAGCCATTTCTTTCTTTCTTTCTCTCTCTTTCTTTGTTGCTCACGGGCGTGCCGGGGCACTGGGCAAACATTGACCTCTTGAGTCTTTTAAAGGGCTCGACCGCTTAGACCCTCGGCTACATAAGCTCTCATGAAGAGACTTATCAATCGATGTGAAAAAGTTGGAGGTCATGTGATCCTCTATATATTTGACCCAGTTTGCGTGACCTACGCGTTTCGTTACCTTAGCATCTCTCTACACGGCCTTGAAATTTAGAATTAACTGGTTGAGATACAAAGCCTCCTGCTGTAAGCGCTCTACGGTTACTATATCTCAGAAACAATGCACCATCGGGACGCTGGAGGCCAGCAAGCGGCAGGGTATTGATACTACTAGGTCTAAGGGAGGTAGGTAGGTAGAAGATGTCTTAAAAAAACATACAACAGGAGGGATTCGCTGGTGGTCACCCACCCAACTACTAACCTCCCGGCGTGTGGCTTAAGTACGGCTGAGCGGACGGGAAGCCCTGTTCTCCACACCCTGTGGTCGTATGTATCAGACTATCGGGAAATGCAGGATTATATTAGTAGTTCCGAAGAATTTCAATGGGAAGAAAATAGAAATATTTATGTCTATTGTCTATTGAGGGTGTATATGGGAGGGCACGTTCAGCTCAGCTACAGCAAGCCATCTGACCCCTCCGGAACTGGGACCCAGAAAATTTATTCACTTAATATGCTCCATCCCATGCCCTAAATACCTAGCCACTCCCAAAGTGGCATACAGAACAACCTGCCAAGCAACATTCATTTGCTACTAATTCTTGTACTTGGGCGTGACGGGCGCGAGAGGAAATTGCAAAAGTTATAAAATTGTCACCCTAACGTAGAAGCATCCGTGAGCAAACTCTCTTCATTCTTACCATAGAGCTCCGTCATTCCATGAGCTAGGCTCCTTGAACTAGGCCTTTGTAATTACTATAGTTCCAGCTGACCCTCGCTTCTGACTAGCGACCTTCAATCGGGGCCATGCAGGCTCATCGCCTGTTCCCCTATCGCGTTAGGATGTGCCCGCCCGATTAGATATTCTGTGGAATCTACCCGGAAAGCAGCAGCTGACATCGGGCGTATACGGGTATCATTGATAAGGTGTGGTTAAAGTTTGAAGCTATTGTTGTCGGGGTCGATTGAAAAGGAATACCCTGTTCTCTAAAAGATAGCACCGAAGCATTCCAAGGACAAATTAGTTGAGAACGATCCTATGGACAATGGGAGTATCTATACGGATTGAGTATGATGGACTTTCATACAGGCCAGATTCGGTCACTTTGATTTACACAACGGCTGGCGTGTAGGCGTGTAATCCTGGACAACCATGAGATTGAACCTATTGGAATTTACATTCTCTTTGGGACAGAGGTTAACAGGGTGCTTCGTGGGGAGACCGAAATTATGGCGATAATAAAGACGGAAAAAGATAGAGTTCTTGCATTGGGTGAATACTTCGGTATGCGATTTTACGAAGATGAAGTTGAAGGGATTAGCGGTCTACCATCTGAGGTTAAGTCCAGATAATAATGAACAATGGGAAGTTTGTACAACTGGTTTATATAGCAAACGTTCTCCATTTATGAAAAGCTTTTCTACTGTTCTAGATGGAAGTCTACATGGTGATCTAGAAGACTGCAGACCTACCTGCAGACGATAGTTTGATTTCCAAAGGCCGGGCCTGTACCTCCAGAAAGGCATTCCCACCATCATTTTGGTGGTATGGATGAGAAAGATATGCCAGTAAATATATTAGACCGGTGTTCCAAGCTTTTCCGAAGAATGAGAAAGATGGGTTATCCGATATGGCTTCTCTAGTGGCAAGAATAATTGTGCTACGAAATGCGTGTCAATAATTCCCGCGTTCCACACCAATGAAGGAACATATCATATAGCTAGGTAGTAAGAAAAAATCATAGCACAGGTTTGGGAGACATATATTCCATATATTTCAGTAAGAGTAGGTCTTCAATAACAAAAAACAATACAACGAAAGTATTTTATAATCCTATTGACCCCATGAAGCAACGTAAATCCCTCCCATATAAGTCCCACGGCAAGATGCCTCCCAATCTGAACCTAGAGCGACGTTCGCTCCCCTTCGGAACACGCCCCCTCATATACAACAGGCCGATTCTCCCTCACCCACAGCAGCTCCGCGTCACTCTTCCACGGTGGCGGAATCAACCCATTGATCTTCCACATCCGCCGTTCGGTCTCATCAACATGATACTCAACATCATACCCTTTGTCCAGTGCGTGTGGTTTCAGCACCCGGTCTATCTTAGAGGCAGCCTGATCATACGCTGCGTCAGTGTCTGGTAGACGGATGGCGATGTGGGCGATGACTATCCGGACGAAGGGCCTGGCTGTTTCGGGCCGTGGATGGCCGCCCACGAAGACGTTTGTTGGATCCAGTTGGTGAAATTGGACAACAACGTAGAAGGCAGGGAGGCCGACGGATGTATAGTTTTCCGTAATGGCCTGGGCGAAGGCTGCTTTTTCCGTGGAAGTGGTAAAGGTCCCTGGGGGATGGTATATTTGCCAAAGGGGCATTTTGTGGAAGTGGTTATGATGTTTGGAATAGGACAGAATGATGTATTTCTGGTAGTATGAGAACAGGCGATAGAAACTGGAGCTGGGGTTTGGCTGAGAGGCCTCTTTATAATATATCATATTCACGATGACTGGTGGGAATTCTGAGCAAAACGCTGGATTACAAATCGTGATCTACACGGTCTAGAAGAAACTTGAGATAGAATAATCAGTCCGAGTTGCGGTTAGTGAACTGGGTCAGTGCGATGAATGGCGACATTGCCATTGCTTTCTTCGCTTGTCCTTGAGGCCCCGAGGACAGTATAAAAAGAGTCGATATACGGCTAGAACAACACATTCACGAAGAGTCCAGAGAATAAATTCAATATGTCACTACCCCATCAGTGTACACCTCTTGTATTAATTACCGGTGCGACAGGGTTCATCGGCTCACAAGTCGCCCTCGTATCCCTCCGGGCAGGATACCGGGTGCGACTGGCGATCCACAAACCGGAGCAGGAAGCCGTTCTACGAGCCCGTTACCCTGATTATAACGCCCAAATTGAAATCTCTATCATTCCAAATATCACAATCCGAGACGCATTTGAGTCTGCTCTTGATGGCGTGGACTACGTTTTCCACCTGGCTTCACCGATGCCAGGTCACGGTTCCGATCTGCAGGCAGAGTATCTCGACCCCGCCGTCAAAGGCACCGAATCCGTTCTCTTTTCCGCTCTAGCATTCCCTCAGATCAAGAAGGTGATTATTGTATCCTCGGTACTGGGCTTAACACCCCTTACTGCTCTGCGCGAAAAGGAAGTATTCGTGAAAGGTGAGTAACTTTCTCCTTCCCCTCCCCAACCAGGGATACATAGATCAAGGTTGATAGAACGGGGTAGACAACACCAACGAGACCATCCCAATTGATATACCCACAGTTATACCTGAAGGCCCCCGTGGACACGGCTTAAAATACCACGCCTCTAAGATCCGCGCTCACCAAGCCACGCGGGACTTCCTGGCCAGTCAGAATCCACACTTTACCATCATCACTTTCCACCCGACTTTTGTTCTCGGCGAAAGTCTCATCCAGAAAACACCAGAGGGAATAGATGGAATAAACGCACTCTTCTGGGATTGTCTGCATTCCGAGAAGCCAACCATACCGAACGTGTGGGTGGATGTTCGTGATGTGGCGGAGGCGCATATTCGGGCTCTTAAGGCGGAGATCCCATCTGGCACGGAGTTTCTTTTGTCGGCACCGGCGGCATCGTGGGAGGCAGCGGGGGAACTGGTGAGGCGGAATTTCCCTTCTGTTGGCTGCAAACTGCAGGGGCCGATCGAAGGGGGGTGGACAGTTGATACAAAGACTGCGGAGAGGATTCTGGGAATGCATTGGAGGCGGCCAGATGAGATTGTCGAAGCGGTGCTAAAGCAGCAGTTGAAGTTGAGGGGAGCTGAAGCTTCCCTGTAAGCTAGGATGACATTGGAAAAGGGTTATGAGAGAATAGCTTGATAGGTACTCTGGTCTACAACCCTACGAATAACTGCCGGACGCGGCACTTTGATGGATATCTCGCATCAACCCATCCACCGAGTTCCCCAACACCCAGTATCTTTTGTTTCGATCGGTACCTTTCTAAACGTAGGATAGTGCGTTGATTTTTAAGGCCCTAGAACTGGGATTGGAACCACAGCTGGAAAATACCTATCTTCGATCGCCCAGAATCTACGGTATACTGGGAGTGAATGTCCCTTCATTATGCGGGACGGTATCAAGACAAGTCAGATATTCGTAATTGGGATCTAATAGCGAGTAGGCTTTTATAATCATAGCATATGATCAATAATCATTAATCGCGGGACGGTTGCTTATTGATCACCTATTATGAATCGCGACCTGTTCGTGTTCAGCCACAGGAAGGCAACGAAGTGAGTAAAAAAAAGTTAACCTCTACGGTCAGTCAATGCTGACGTGAGCTCGGCACATAGCATGGTGGGGAGAGAAAAGGCGTGGTGATACGATACGCCCATTAGCATCTCAAGGCTGAGGGTATTGGGGAACCCGGTACCTGGTCAGACTAAAATATGCCGGAGATATTTGGCCGAGCCGATTTCGGCTCGGCTTTTATTGGGAGACCTCAACACTAAACTACAATAAATCCATGGCAAAAAAAAGTGGATCTGATACGAGTTATGCGAACCAGCTCTGACTCTGCCACGATGTATGGTGTGATCTTTGTAAAGTAGATAGGGAGTCATCCTTTTCTTAATGTTAACAATACCTATCTATCCCGTACCCTGGACGACAATATACGTGTTTTCGTAGTTCTCAAACCGGTATATCTTGAGAAATTTGCCAACGCAGAGAGAAGAGCCTGGCAAGAGCGCAGTGAATAGGCTATGACTGGCAAGGAATGGCAAATACAGTCTTCTTCATAGACTTCTCACAGTAAGCTCTGAATGAGTCGCAGGCTTCCTGCTTCGGCTCAATAGCTGTGATGCGCTTGCATTGCACCTTGCTAATGATGCTGGGGACATAATCGCATGTTCACTCGAGCACGATAACGCTGGACTCCTCTCCAATACACGTGTTGGGGCCATGAGCACCGACTAACTATATAGGAACATCAGGGGCCCTCATGCACATGTATACGCCTCACACCTACTACAGTCACGCTTGTTCATGGCCACAAAATAGTATATTAAGTGACATTAAGGATAAAGTCAACTAAACAGTCAACTGACAGGCAGCCTCAATCCCTGGAAATCGATCGCTAATCAAGCAAAACTTCTCAGTAAGAATATCCTTCGACACCTGTTGCAAATTATGAAACGAGAACACCACGCGCTTCATAAACACAATGTCTCCAATACGACTAGTCGTCTGCTCCAGCGTGGCCTGCGGAAGATGAATAACCACATCAGCAATAGTATTAATGATCTCCACCAGCTTGGTCAGGATCGAGGATCCGTGCACGCGGATTGTATTTTGCGAGATCTTAGTCAGGAATTGCCTCAGCTGACCGGAGAGCCGGAGCGGGAGTTCAAGGGACAATGAAGGACATAGAGGATGAGAGGACAAAAGCCAGTTGGACATGGCCATCTGCCAGAGCAGAGTGCGCATCCATTGTCTGGTGATGACAAGATCTGCTTGCTGCGTCTCGGATAACATCGAGACTTCGAGTTCCCAACGGGCGTCGTCTAGCTCGCGGTATTTTTGCTCCACCCACTTCGCTGAGACTTGGCTTCTGTCCCCAATCCAGAGATTGATGAAGGTTGGCTCGAAAATGAGGAATGTCTTGATGACCTGGGTCCAGCCCTGGGAGATACCGGGGGGTAGGTTGGGGTCAGCCTCCGGGAAGGAAACATTTGGGGATAGGGTTGCTGGAGAGAAATGCACGATCGAAATGAATCGTTCATGGATAAAGCATAACCAGTAGAGGCGTTGGCGCCGGGCTCGTTCTGTGAGATGCAGACTGCCGAGAACAGTCTTGTCCTCGATGCGCAGGAGGTGGATCATGGTGATGGCCTCACGCAAATAGACAAACCCTAAGTCGTATTGGCCAAGGCTCATGAAGCACATTTGGATGAAGATGTTGGTCATTGTGCGCAGGATGGATGGGCGGAATCCGAGCAACATTGGCGGTTGGGTTGCGATGGCTTGGTTGATGAGCTGGGTGATGTGGGTCGAGGCGCTTGACGTGGGATGATTGGATTGTGCCAGGTCAATCGTCGCGGCGGCAAATGCATATACAAATGCTGCGCTCTCTCTGTCAGACTCCATTTTGCTGATTGCATCGTGCAACTCGTCCTCGGTCATGATGGGGTTGAATGGGTATACGAGATGCATGTATTCCGGGACCAGGCTTTCAAAGTACGAGGTTGAAACTGGTGACAAAGCCGGAGCGAGAAGTGGGTTTGACGGCGTTTCAATTTTATGCTTCGAAATAACTTCTCCTCGACGAAGTGCATGCTTCCTTGATCGCGCGAGTCGATTATCGGTGTATGTGCAAACCAGGCCCAGGTGCTCACATTGCTGGCATCGTTGCTCGCCATTACAGCGAACTTTCCTTCGCCCGCAAGCGTCGCATGCCTTGTGTACTCGGTGTCGACGGTGGTCCTCCATGGTTCTACGGTAACAAATGCATCGATCTAGCGGGCGAGGTCGGTAGGAAGAGACATCGTGGGGCCGGCCTTTCTTACCCCAGGTTTTATATTAGATCGCGTGCCTTGGCGCCTTGGCAATGGCCTGAGGCACTCATTGACTTGATTCATCTTGGATGTTCGTTATATATTCCAAAGGAGTGAAGAAACAGAATCATAAAATTCAATGCAGGGCTCTACCAAAGTCATTATATCTATCATTTAAAACAAAAGCACACGTCCTTCGAATGGCTGCAACTCGTTCAAATCCCCTTCAACGTTACGCAACAACACCTTCGGATCCTGCACAGAAGCTGGTTTCTCGAATCTCAGGGTATCCTCCGAAAAGTTCAATACTACCAAAGCCGAATACTTCTGTCCTCGCTTAACATAGGTGAACACCTTCTCATTTTGCTCGTCCAAGATCTCAAAATCCCCAAAAACGAATACGTCGGCGTATTCTTTCCGTAGCTGAATAACCCGTTTCCAGAACGACAAGACAGAAGACTCATCGTTCTCCTGCACTTTTGCATTGATCTCGGGGTAGTTATCGTGGACGCGCATCCATGTCTTTTCCGACAAGGAAGAGAATCCACCATTAGCCTCGGGACTCCACTGCATAGGAAGCCGGGCATGGTCTCTCGCAAAACGCTGGAGTGACTTCATAGCAGTCTCCAGCTCCACCTGGTCATTATTGGAAACCTTCTGCACCATTTGGTAGTAGTTTGTGCTGTCGACATCTTTATATTCATCGATAGTCCAGCTCTCTGGCGCATTAACCATGCCAATTTCCTGGCCTTGGTAGATGAATTGAGTGCCTGACAACGTGCCCTGCATCATCGCAAGCATCTTCGCTGATGTGACTCTCAATTCTGGGGTCTTCTCGGAACCAAACCGAGAGACAGACCGACCCTGGTCATGATTCTCCATGAACACCGTGGACCACCCATCTGTCCCCCTCATGATCACTTGAGTACCCTTGACCGCAGCCTTGAGTTCCGGTAGCGTCCAGCCTGGCAGCGTAGTCAAGAATTTATAGTCTTTTCCTTGTCCAAGATCGACGATATCGAACTGAAAGACCATGTTCAGCTGGTTCTGCGCTGCGGACACATACCGCAGAATGCCATCGACAGTGTGCGTATTTGGCAGCTCTCCCACCGTCATCGCGTCATACTTGGCAAGTACCTCATTCATCTCCCCAAGGTATTCGTGAATACGGGGTCCATTACAGAACAATGCTGGCGACATTTGAGTCTCCGACTTGGGGTCGAGGACCGGCGCATCTGGGTACTCCGGATGTTTGCTGTACATGTTCACTGTGTCCACACGGAATCCATCAACACCCTTCTGCAGCCAGAACTCCATCGCCGAATCATAGATCGCACGGCGGGTCTCTGGGTTCTCCCAGTTGAGATCTGGCTGTTCCTTGCAAAACAAATGGAGATAGTATTCTTGGCTTCCTTCGTCCCATTCCCAAGCACTGCCGCCGAAGATACTGCGCCAGTTGTTGGGTGGCTTCCGGACTCCATTGCTGTCGTATTTTGCAGGCTTCCAGATGTACCATTCGCGCTTGGGGCTAGATTTTGACGACCGCGATTCCTTGAACCACTTGTGCTCGTGCGAGGTGTGGTTGACAACCAGGTCCAGAATAATGCGCAGCCCGCGACGGTGGCACTCGTCGATGAGTACTTCCATGTCCTGTACTGTGCCGTATGGTGGGTAGACACTCTCATAGTCGGCGACATCATACCCCATGTCGTATTGGGGGCTGTCGTACATGGGTGAGATCCAAATCACGTCTACCCCCAGGCTGGTGATATAATCAAGGGAGGAGATGATACCGGGAATATCACCGATACCGTCATTGTTAGAGTCTTTAAAACTGGCCGGGTAGATCTGGTAGATGATGGAGTTTTTCCACCATTTTTCGCCAACCGGGGCTGGAGACATTTTCGAGGGGTATTGGGTAGAGAAAAATGAAAAGAGGATGGTAGGAGAGGAAAAGCTTTCTGGCCAAACAAACTTGGTCGAAAGGAAAGATATATAACTGCCTGGGTGAGTAGGGCAATCACGGTACTCGCACACCATCCCATAACAACTGGCATGTACGATGCTGATCCACCCATCAGATACATGCTCCGAATTGGCGCAATGTCGGGCCGGGCAGTTATCACACCTGCAGAAGAGGCCCTTGCGGTGTCCACCAGGGTCCAGCTTCAACCCCACAACACCTTGGCCCCGCTCGACCGTTGTCAAGATGATTCTAAATATGACATTTTCTCATGGAAACACCGATCATGTCCTGTACATGTGCGCACGACTGGTATTGTATCAGTTAAAATGGCCAAGAGACCGACTAAACCGACTACAGTTAGTGATGTGAGGGTTCTCCGTGGTTAATACGTGCCTCGGCCCGACATTGGTCCAATAGAACGGTGAGGTCTGCTAGCCGAGCAGCTGCAGGTCTGGACGCGGTGATTAAGTTGACCCTAGATCAAGACTCAGGCCCACTTACGCCCCCCGTTCAAGTGCCCTTTATCCGATGGTGCTCTAACATGACTGATCATTTGCCTTTCACAGAAGTGGATGTTTGTAACGAGTACATCTTATTGTTATGTACATGACTCGGAGATGGTATGGCATGGATAAAACAAACAATTCGACTTGAGTCTCCTTCACGATGGTTCTGCGTGGAAAAACAAGCATAAATTATAATGAAAGTCAATTCTGTCTTCCATTACCTTCTGATTCTTGCCGGCCCGACATCTGGCCAATCAAATCGCTTTCTTTGGCCGCCAAAAACCCGGGGGGATCCGTTGGAGAGAATCTGGGGAAAAAACCTTGTCTCCTGGACAGCACCTGCATCCTCGCGAGTTTGCTGCGGGGAATCATGCGCACTTGGAGAACTTTGATGCTCGTATAGTCCGGGTTAGGTGCATACAATGCGCTATTGACTGTGATCTGATTCCTGTGGCAAGGCTGTATAAAGGCCCTGTGTGTGCCTTCACTTTCCACGCAATCGTCCCTTCCATCCGCAATTGTTCCTACTTGGTCTACTGCAAACCATACCCAAGATGACTACCGAGAAGGCCGCTATGTCTGAACACATTGAGAACGACAACCCATCTAGCCATGATACCATCGACCTCCCTAACAGTGCCGAGGCACAGGCAGCCATTGCGAAAGAGCGTGAGATGACTCTATGGGAGGCGCTCAGACTCTATCCGAAGGCCGTGGGGTGGTCACTTTTATTCTCTTGTGCTATCATCATGGAAGGCTACGATGTTGTCCTCATCGGTTCTTTCCTCGCTTTTCCTGCATTCAACGAAAAATACGGACATCTCATGTCGGACGGAACATATGGACTCGAAGCTAAGTGGCAAGCCGGTGTAAACAACGCGATGGCCTGCGGTCAAATTATTGGACTTTTCCTCAACGGACTTATCTCAGAGCGCTTGGGATACCGAAAGACCCTGATGGCATGTCTTGCCGCCACCATTGGTTTCGTTTTCATTCTCTTCTTTGCGCCGAATATCCAAACTCTTGTGGTCGGCGAGCTCTTCATGGGCATCCCCCTTGGAGTATATCAAACCCTCGTCGTGACATACGCATCCGAAGTGTGTCCTATAGCGTTGCGCGCATACCTTACCACCTATGTGAACCTCTGCTGGGTGCTAGGCCAATTGCTCGCCTCTGGCGTGCTGAAGGGTCTCGCCGAGCGCACCGATCAGTGGGCATACCGTATCCCCTTCGCTCTGCAGTGGATCTGGCCCATCCCCATTTTCATCGGGGTGTTTCTGGCCCCCGAGAGCCCCTGGTGGCTCATTCGGCAAGACCGCCGTGAAGACGCCGTCAAGGCTGTGAAACGATTGACGAGCGCCAGCGCAGACTTCAACGCCGAAGAAACCGTCTCGATGATCGTATACACCGACGCACTCGAGCGACGTGCGGAAACCGGTACCTCATATCTTGACTGCTTCAAGAAAACCGACTTGCGCCGAACCGAAATCGCCTGCTGTGCATGGGCGGCGCAGAGTTTGTGCGGCGCAGGTCTGATGGGCTACTCTACCGTCTTCTACCAGCGTGCGGGTCTCGCCGTGTCACAGTCGTTCACCATGTCGCTCGTACAATATGCCCTAGGAGTGGTGGGGACCTTCGTCTCCTGGACAGCGATGTCCTACTTCGGCCGTCGCACCCTCTACGTCGGCGGTCTCTTTCTCCTAGCCATTGTACTATTCGTCATCGGGTTCGTCTCTATCGCCCCATCCACACCCGCCATCTCCTGGGCAACCGGATCCATGCTTCTCGTCTACACCTTTATCTACGACTCCTCCATCGGACCCGTCTGCTTCGCTCTCGTCGGCGAAATCCCGTCCTCCAGACTCCGTACTAAGACAGTGGTACTCGCCCGAAACGTGTACAATATTCTCAATCTCGTCACTGGACTCATCATCCCGTATATGCTCAACGTGGATGCTTGGAACTGGCGTGGAAAATCAGGTTTCTTCTGGGGTGCGCTCTGCGTTTGCTGTTTGACATGGTCGTTCTTCCGCCTGCCAGAACCTAAGGGACGGTCGTATGCTGAGTTGGATCTGTTGTTTGAGAGAAGGGTCAAGACGAGAGAGTTTGCAACTGCTAAGACTGGGCTGGAGGATTCGCAGAGCGACGCGAAGGATGATATGGTGAAGGTCTGAGACTTGATTTGGGTATTCAGTTGGGATTCGTATAATAAGGAGCAAGTGGTGTTCTCGCGTAGGGAGTTTGTGTTATTCTATTTCGTTCTGCTATTAACTTCTCAGATGTCTCTATCTTGTCAAGTTCTGAATCAGCTTCTGGGAAACACCTTGTTGGGCTTGAACGGCCTCTCGGATATATACCATAGCCTCGCTCAAACCATGAAATACTTTTAGCCTGTTAAATCGGCTTATAAACGCAGTCTATGGATTGAATATTAAATCTTGTCATGGAAACTCGATTTATATTACGTGTAGTTGCAGATGGATGCTCTCGTGGATAACATTCGGGTGGCGGCTTAATTGGAATTTCTACTTTCGACGGGCGGTCGGGATTACTCGTGTTCAGATCTAATTGTTATGATAATCTATTCAGGCATCGATGCCGTGGCTTGCACCTCAGCAGCTCTGTTAAGTCCCTCGGGCACTGTAATATGATAGGCAAACTAGTGTTTCCCCCGTGGCTCGTTGAAGACAATTTGTAAAAGGTACGAAATCTAGCAGATTGAATTTTCTTTATACCCTCAAATAGATCATTTATTGGTGCATATCTATTAGTTAATCTTAAGAAGCTCAACCTCACTGCAATGAAAGAAAAGTTAGTCTCACAGTATTACTTTCGGGTCAATTGACTTTTGCAGACTTACAAGATCAGAGTAGAGTTTGCAGGGATCTTGCCAGCCGCCCTAATTAAAGAAGGATTGTTAGTTCGAATAGGTTCAATTCAACGTGTGCAAATCATTTTCAGGTGGCATACTTGTCACCGTAGCCATAGTCCCTGTCATGTTGTTAGTATTATGCTATATGTCTATTTTCGTACAGAGGGTTGACTTACGGGGTAATAGTCAGGGTGGACTTCTCGCCAAGGCTCATCTGCATGACACCCTCATCCCAGCCTGGCCAGGCCATTGTTAGCAATCCACGAGAGTGGGTTAAGTGAGGGTCAATAGCTTGGAAGAGATACCCTTGATAACCTTTCCAGTGCCAATCTGCACACTCAACGGGCCACGACCGGGCGATCTAGAACTATCAAACCTATGGATAGATTTAGCATTCAACAGTTCTCCGTAGACGAAGCCAAAGATTCTAGTAGAGGATAAGCCGGCTTACTGCTTGCCCTGGAAGCCCTTGTTGGCCTTCTTAGGGTCGTAGATCCAGCCGGTGTAGTGGATGGAGACCTTGTCGCCTGAAGCAGGCGAGGGGCCGCTACCGCGGGTGATAATCTTTCTCTCGACACCCATCTTGAATGTTATTTATCTTGCTGGAAGTGTAAGTGACGAAAAGGACCGGTCGTTGGGGGAACGAGGGGAAGTCAAAAGGTGAGAGGCAACGCTGATTCGTATTTTTCCTCGAAGTGGGGGTGCGCTTGTTATCCAGCAGGATTCGCGTAGCGATCCTACCATTCCATCTTTCTTGACTTATTCTAACGAAATCAGGAGCGTACCTAGTAGGAAATTTTAGTATTCCATGTGGCTTTCTCTAATATTTAACTTTAAAAAAACGAAATTCACAAAGCATTGGCTTAAAATTACATTGGTAATAATTGTATCAAGTATCACGTGATACGTTAATGGCTGATGTAATCATATTAATAAGCAAGATCATGAAGCTAGTCTAAAAAAAGACGATAATCTTAAACCCTGGCTGGCACTGCAACATCAGAATATATTGTATTGGGATAGGCGGAGGAGGATCATTAGTCGGATTGGTCGATGAGAGCGAGTCCACAATCCGGCTACGATAAGATAGGCATGATATAGCAGAAATGCCAATCATTGCTGACCTCATTCCCTCGTGAATAGATATAACGAGATTAATGTTCCTCTGTTCTAGCCATAAGCATGGCTGTCTCATATGTCGGCTACCGGATATCGCACCCTCGTCAATGACTGACTGGTCGTATCGTTCAGCATTCGATTCTCAGATGCATATGGAATCGACCTTGTACACAATGATGAGGAGGAATTTGCCATACGACATAATTATATCACACTCTCTCGTGTGAAAGACACATTTTTGGTCTCTCCAACTAGGAGACAACCGATGGTGCAGGAGCGAAATCATCTATTACTTGGCCCAGATGCCGAGCCATATAATTCAGTTCAATGGAAGTGACGCCCTCGATTATATCCCTCAAGACCTCAATAATATGTCGTTGTCTCAGGCCAGGCCAGAAATGCCGGAAAGGTAGTTAGCAAGATATATGCTACACCTTTTCGTTTGGTGGCTTGGAGCGAGCTAACTGAATACGAAAGTCACTAACTAAATATATAATGAGATCGCCCTTGTTTATTTTATACATACCAAATAAGTATAGGTGTTTGGGTTTCCAGGACCTGGCATATGTCTCACCCAATTTTTGGGTCTGATTTTCAAGGGGCGATCTTCCCCAGAATTTCAGACCATCGGCGATTCAGTTCCCGTCGATCACCGAATATCTAGGCTTCTTCGTATAGTATACTGCCGGTACGTCGTCCGGGAGTTGAAATTCTCCAATTTTGAGGCACCACGATCCCAATCCTTCGCTATACTGGAGACTGGGGTACCTTTCTCACGAAATGAGGGGTCAACGAGATATAAAGCTGGCCAGGTATCTCTAAGTAGTGACCATATAACCCTCTCCATCATCATTCTCAGTATCATCATCCATATCGCTTGTGTTCTCTATCGTTTCTCGATCTAATCTTAACCAAGTCACCTCCATCACCATGAAGCTCTCCGTCTTCTCCATCCTAACCCTCGGTCTCACCGCCGGTGCCCTCGCCACCCCTGCCAACATCCAGCGCGATCTGCCCACCATCACCGGGGTCCTATCTGGCATAGGCACTAAAGTTGACGCCCTCGACTCAGCCATCCAGGCATACACGGGTGGTGACGTGGCCAAGGTCCAACAAGCGTCCGACAGCCTTGTCGATGCCATCAATGCCGGCACTACCAAGGTCAGCGGCTCCTCCAACCTCAGCGGCGGCGATGCTCTCGGTCTCCCTGGCCCCGTGAACAACCTCAAGCAGAAGATCACCACGGCCGTTACCCACCTATCCGGCAAAAAGTCCCAGATTGTTCAGGCCGGCAAGGGTGGTCAAACCTATAATGACTTGATCCAGCAGAAGACGGCCGCGAAGAAGTTGTCTGATACTATTGTCTCCAAGGTTCCTGAGAACTTGCAGAACCTTGCCTCCGGGATTGCTGGTGGTATTTCCGATGCTATTGAGAAGGGTGTTCAGGACTTCCAGGACCAAGCTACGAAGGGTGGAAAGCGCGAAGTCGCGAGCGCTGATGCTGTTGCTGCTATTGCTGTCTAAGGGGATGTCTATGTGATTTGATTATGGGGTTTGAGTTGTTTCTTGGCCTGCGTTAGTGCAGATGTGCTGTGAACATTGTCAAGGTGTGATGGTGCCTTGTGTCTGTTGCGAATACTGAACGGGATGTATTAAGTTGATTGCCTGTACTTGAGTGTCATGCCCAATATAGTGTGGTAGTATTAAGTAGTCAATACATTACCGACTTGAAAGCCCCGAAATATGTATAGAGACGACCTCACCCACCAGCTGCGAGATGCGCTACGAAGTGTACCGGAATAAGTTTAAATCGCCCGATTTCCCTCATTCCTACGCCTGATCCTCCGCTCGAAAAGATGAGGTGGAATCGCCTATATTTCCATATTTTTATTATTCTAGGGAAACGTCAACGCGTCAATATATCTACTAGCTAGTATATCAACTGGTATGTCTATATCTACTAGTTGGTATGTAGGGGCCTGACCCACCTAGAATACTACCACATAATCCAATACCGCAGGATAGGACCCTTAAATCCTTCGGTGAAGGTCTATATAGTATAGAATAGTCTATATCTTATAAAAGTTAGAGAACTGCAGCTATTTAACTCTATCCCAGAGCTTTTAAATACTAATGTTATAATATATATCTTCTGGAAAGTACTATTTTGAAATATTACCTCTTATCGATATAGCTTCAAATGTCTATCTACTATTAGAATACCTTTCCAATATATTTCCGCTGCTGATACCTATGTTCGAATATAATATTTATTGACATATCCAGTAAAACTGTACCTTTCTATCTACTAGTCTATAGTAGGTCAACCTTATAAAGAGTAGTATAAGGCCTTAGAAAGGGGGAGCAGTCTACTAAACTACTGCTATTCTCAGACCCCTTTGGATTCCCAATATACATATATATATATGCATATTTATAATACAAATATCAACGACAGCTGCTTAGTAGATCTACTGAACGGCTGTTGGCGACCCGGGAAGAGTCCCTGAATGGGAGCTGTATGTGGGTATAATGCAATTACTACTACTACTACTACTACTACTACTACTACTACTACTACTAATATATTTGAATGCAGTGAGACTGCATCAACTGGGGGTTGGGTTGGGTTTCTTTTTGGTCGTAGCTCCTCGCCGACGTCTCCGCTTTATATATTAATTATGGGTAAAAGTTGTTCGCATATATCAAAACTGTCCTTATTTGATACGTACTGTTGCTGATCGCAGTAGGCCAACTATTAGACATCAAGTAGGCCAGTATCTTTGTAATGTAAAGTCTAAATCAAGCTCAAACAAATTAGAAATGCCGGTGTGATGAGGACTTTTTTGTAATTGTACTGATAGCCATAAAAGCAAGGCCTGGCAAGACATCGTATCGACTCACACAAGCATTGATCCAACGGTATCTTTGAAATATAAGCATCCAAATTTGATCATTTACTGCAATATCATATTGCAGATGTAGCCAATAGGTTTCAGGATCCTCTAATAATAATGCACAGTCTAAAATACTGCTTTGTAGTAAATATCATTGGAATCAGCCTCTCTTGGAGGTTAAGTCATTTATATCCCGCGTACGCATAGCTTGCCTTCTTGGAAAAATGTAGTTGCACTGTGATGCCAGCCACGAGCGGCCAGTTCTTCGCTGCGTGAGTAATTGGTGATAGCTTGACTTTGCTAACTTGTCTATATAACCCTTTGTCTTCAAAGAACCAATACATACGACCATAGGGTGTGGAAAACAGGGCTTCCCGTCCGCTCAGCCGTACTTAAGCCACACGCCGGGAGGTTAGTAGTTGGGTGGGTGACCACCAGCGAATCCCTCCTGTTGTATGTTTTTCTTTTTTCATTTTGGTCTAAATATCGTTTTAGGTGTGTTGGGTTTACTCTGTAGAGTGCCCTTACTGCTGCTATAAAGCTCTACGGTTGGTGAAAATGAGTGCAATCCGGCATAGTCTTAAAAGTTATACACGCAGTTATGGAGACGCAAAATTCATCTGATCTAGAATGTAGAATTGGCATGAATAATCCCAAGCTGTCGCGAATGTAATGCTTGTATCATACTGCAGATGTAAGGCTTAATGTCCCCCTATATTAAGAAAGCACCCCTGGCGTCTGTACCTGTAACAATAAATAGGTTGATCCCTAGAGCCTTTGTTATAATAGAAGACCTTTCTATCAGAAGAGCATCGGTATCTATAGTCTATACAGGATCTGCTTCTTATTCCAGTATATAAAGGGGATATGTTGTTAGTATTTATGACCAGAGTCAATCAAGTAGAACGATCCTTTGTTATATGCATATCATAAAGAGGACTTTACTGCACTGGGCATATATCACCTGCTATCAGTCGTCAACATTGTAGGAACGTGCTCAGGTATTCTTCCAGTCTAAACGGAAAACATGATTCCCAAAGTCATCGCAAGTTTCTAGTCCGATTCAGAACCATGTGAGCCACATGGCAGTAGCAGAGAGTCCATTAATCCTCTTCATCCATAACCTTGACAATTACTCCAGGAAGGCTTCTCAATCGTTGAACACCCTGTTCATCAATCCTGGATTCAGTCAGAAGATTAGGACCAGTTCATTTAACGGATACATAGCAAAACTGGTCTTGTAGGAGACGTACTCAATGCCAAATATCATAGGCGGTAAACTTCTAGTTTCAGGGTACTCGCTGGTTCCAGTGAATTCCGTAAGGATGCTAAGATTGTCAGCCATAGCGTATTTCAAGTCGTTCCTCGGACCTTTGAGTTCCAACATACTTATCAACCCCTTCGCGACTGTCTTCCCAACTCTCCACACTTTCAAACCTGACTGAAATTTCCTGTATACAAATTAATACTAATAGCAGTTGTTAAGTTGGGCATATCTCACCTTCTGGGGCATTGTCAGATGGCAGGAAGCTTGTTAAGTTGAATATTCAGAAAATATTTGCGGCACTAGAATGATTGAGACTTTACTCAACACTACAGGAATATATACAGTTTCTCGCTACAGATCAGGCTGGCTGAGGATCTGCACGTACAGCTCATCATGCATGTGGATCAGCGAGGTTTGCCCCACCAAATTTGTCATTCACGAGATCATGGCCCTAACTAGCCTTTTTTACAGGAGGGGAATAGTCCACCACTAGACGACGCGAGGCAGCCCATATGGTCAGAGGCGCGGCTACTAGTGCAGCGGGAGGCGGGGCAGCGAACCAATAATGTAATCAAGAATACACGAAGCGAGGCGATCCTAGGGCGGGGTCCCAGTTCCGAGGGGGTCAGGATTTAGTGGCTGGGGGTCAGAGTGGTTCTGACCTCCCGAGAGATCTACCGCCTTTGTCACATAATAAGATCTCCGAGAGGGTCAGAACTTTATATATTATATAATCGAGCTCTAAGGGGGCAGAAATTTTTAATAATTCTGACCTCCTTAGAGCTTTAATTTTAGCTATTTTAAACTATATTTAAACAGGAAAGATTTTAAGAGTTAATTAACTTTAGATTATATTTAAACAATATTAAAAGTAAATTTAAACTAAATATATTTTAATATCTTTTATATATTATTAAATAATAAAGACTTAAAAAACTGTAGTAGTCACGTGATAAATCTCTAAGGGGGTCAGAAAATACTCCTCCTGATTTTTTAAGATTAGTAAAAAATAGCTCTGAGGGTCAGAAATTACAATATCACGTGAAGCGGCAGTATTTTTTCTGACCCCCTCGGAGATGGTTTCTCCGCCCCACCCTGACCCCCAGCCACTAAA